AAAGATTTTTTTTTGAACCTTGTTATTTTTTACCTGAATAAAACAAGAAATTAAAATAATAAGTTAAAAAATATAAATTTTGAAGATGCCATACACTTTTTAATTATAAAATAATTTAAAAAGGAATCGAAGGATAAATTGAATCATGGGACTGCTAGATTACTATTGTCTGATTTTTTTGTTATTTTTTTCTGTTCATTTAAAATACAAGGGAATCGTATCGAATTTCTTCATGCGATAAAAATAGAATGGAATGAAAAAATAAGAAGGAGAATGGAATTTTAAAAAAAAAATCTGAAAAATTTCTTTTTTTAAAAAATCCTTGTCATTTTTTACTTAAATAAAACAAAGTGAAATAATAAATAGAGAAAATATACATCGTTTGAATACCATTGTAATTATGAAGTAATTTTAAAAGGAATCGAAGTTCTAATGAAGAATTGAATCGTGGGATTGCTAGATTACAGCAATCTCATTTTTCCATCTCCATCAGTTTGCAATTCTAAACGGACATGATGCAATGACAATTGGTATGAGAACACGCGATGATAGTGAAAAGAAACTATCTGTCTTATTAACTCAAAACAATAGTATTAAATAGAGCGTGCATGTAACGAAGCGCGCATTAAAGTGACAAGTTGCCACTAATGGGTTTTCAGCACCATGGTACAAAGCGTCTTTTGGGTTTCTTTCATGAAACCAATTACCGCCAACAACGGTGATTAAGAACATTTTTTTCCTTTCTATTTTACTAATCTTTTGCACTCTATAGCTGACTACGATAATTTTTTTACACTCATTTATGCATCGCGTAACTAACGTTTTAAAACGTGTGAATTAGTTTTTCTGTTGCTTGATTAGTTACTCGTTTTAGGATTCGAACAGATAACTTTGTTAATCGAAGCATATAAGTACTTGAAAAACAAAAATATTTCTTCTTCGAACTTTTTTTTTTGTTGCCATTTTTGTTCGAATTCATTTTTTTTTTTATTAATTTTTGTTACTTTTCCCAGAAATTAACTACCTGAGCCTCAGAGATACTGCAATCACTTTAAAAGCGAACATTCCTTTGCATTCATTTCCACATAGTTGCATCAGCGATATCAGAGTAGAGCAAAAATATGATCGATTATTTGCAATCATGGTTACAAGTGATCAAAATCTATGGTAACAAGTAATCATAATTACATGTAATCATATTGTAGAGATTTATAATTTAGTAATACAATTAGTGCACTGTGATAAAAAGTAATTATTGCTTAAAATCCTAATTGCACTGATCACTTGAAATCATGATTGAAATTTTGATAACTTGAAATCAAGTAATCACGGTTGATTACTTAAGATCTTGATTACATTTAATTGGTCTGTAATAGTAAATAATTACTACTTGTAATCAATCATTAATTATGATTACTGGCAATCGTGATTACCTGTAGTCGTTTCTTGTTGTGATTGCAAATAACAATAACCGTTTGTAATCAGAAATTGTAATTACTTGTAATCGTGATTAATTGCTGGCGAGTAATTGATGCGATCGCTGATTAATATATTGATTACAGTAACAATTAATTATTGTAATTGGCTTCCAACTCAACGATACTAGTGTAACTCTTCCGGAGATGTACTAATCTATGTATTAATATATTTGAAGCATTATTTTAGTACATATCTATAACTACTAATATAATATAAACATTACATTAGTATAAATCTATATACTAATATGATGTTTGGCAAGTCGTAAAAAATATATTCAATTTTTGCGCAGAACGTAGTTAGAAGGTGTGTATTTACAGCAACTTACAATAGAGCTACAAGCTACAGAAAATTACCAACAAGTTTCAGCAAGGAAAAAAAGCGGGTGAAAAGTACACTGCAAAAATCTCGAATCAAATTACATTGAAAAGTACCGTAATGTTCATTTTAACCCCACCTATTTACGGAACAAAACATCTGATATGCCGTAATTTTTACAGTGAAAGTGAACCTTTTTACAGTGTTTACTGTAAAATCCCTGAATGAAATAAATATTACAGTAAAAATTATAACATAAAGTTTTACGGTAAAATGGATTTTACAGTGAAATTTATTTTATTTATGATGCATCAAGAGTGCAGTATTTTTTACCATAATTGATTCCACATTTTTTACAGTACATGGGGTATGTGGAGCTTGATACAGGTTTTCTCACGTTATTTACGTAAATGCTCACAGGATTGATTGTCATTTTGACTTATATATGAAGTAATATTCAAAAAATTAGAAAGAAAAGCAGCAGAGCATTTGTGTATTTATTATTTTGTAGAAAACTATAATTATTTCGTAATACAGCTTGCTCTATAGCTCAGTTAAACTTTATCATTCATCCCAATTTTTTTTAATAAGTTCTTTCTTAAAAACGCCATTGTAGAAACTTAAGTTTGTTAATTTATTTTTATTTACTAGAGCAAAATAGTTAACGCCATTCGAATTATAAACATAAATACAACTTATCACCTGGGTAACCTGATTTCCTGTCTTTGTTTGAGCGAAATGTATTGAACTGATTAGCCCTATTTCACAAATTTCAATTATTTCAGTTACTGCGTCTACGAATACATACCAATAAAACCATTGAACAAGCGAACTTTCACTCACATCCTAATGCAATTTATTTTGATTTCAAACATGCCAACAGGGGAAAAAAAGAACCATAATTGGCCTAGATTAAACATTTAGAGCAGTTTCGAACAAAGGTGTTAAGAAACAATGGTTCGATTAGAAATGTCTCAAAATGAAGTTCGTAGATAACAGTTGCAATGAGGAATTTGATTCTGCATATTTATGTGCTAAAAACAAAACGCTTTTTTTTTTGTTTTCGATAGTGATCTATATGACGAAGCATTTAACAGTTTTTCGAGCATGTGCGTTGCTAAATTAGACTTGTAATAGTTCAAACGTGAGTTATTTTAAAACATATTTTCTTGTTTTGAACAATGCAACCAGTTAGATGCACTTTTTCAACTTCCCGAGCTCTATGAAAATTAAACCAAGTGAACTGCTTTCGTTTATTTGTCCTACAAATTTAATGTAGCCAATACATAATAATATACGAAATTTAACTCAACCAAATTAACCCACAAAGGTTTTATATATTTATCTGTTTTTATACTACAAGTCTAAGTGTTTTAACAGACTGGAAAGTAAAAAGCATCATTGTTTTTATATTGCAGTTTAATTTTATCAGTTTGATGACCCAAAAAATAACAAATGCATATTTGTTTTTCAATTAGGAATTCAACTGTTTTATTTGTAGCCAATCGGGAAAAAAAGACACTAAGTCTATTTATCTAAATCTTGCCAAACGAAAACACTTTGATATTATTTAATTTAACCAAAATCACTTGTAATATTTTAAAATAAATATAATAATACTAAATATAAAACAGATATTACTTGAATATTAGTTTTTGTTTAGACACTCATTACACTAGGGAGCAATTTTTTTCTAATAATGAGATTTTTTAACGAATCGTCAGTATTTTTCGATGTACAATCGAGTTCTCTTTCCAAGCTACGGTTTCTTATTGACATATTTTGACAATTTTTCGTCGTAATATGCAAGTATAGAAACGTTATATGTAACAGTCGGTCAGATACATGTTGAGACAAACTTCTAGAGAAATTAGGGCACATCATCAGGATTAAAACTGCATTGGAACCCATTCTTAGAAATGTTGTAATAGACCGCTAGGGGCTCTTCCCTATTAAAGACTGTTTCTTTGTATGCTGTGTAACAGGTCATAATAGGGAAGCGCCCTTAGAAACATAACATTCCTGGTCTCTTTTATTCAAAATAATACGGATTTTATTAAGTCAACACTGTGGTTGGTGCGTGAAGAGGAAGATTCGAACCTAGGTCACATACATCAAAAATTAGCTCTTCATCCCGAAGAGTTGACACTTTTAAAAAAAACGCATGCAGACATTCCTACTAATGGCAAGGATACAACACGCTTTTCATCTTTGCATAAATTCGTAAAAAAGGCTTTTGAATTTCAATAAAAAAAAAGTATGACACTAATAAATTCATATAAAAGTATCGAAAATTCATGTCTAAAATCCACATAAGATCAAAAAGAATCTTAATCGATATACATTGATTAAGATTCTTTTAATCAATATCTGTGTACATATATGTAGTATATACTTTAATCTGTTTATAATTCGAATCAGCGACGGATCACCAATTTCGTGAAACTTCATAAATGATTTATTTACGTAATATTCCAAGAAGAAGATGATCCAACAGAGTTTAGTCAGCCACTGATGTTTTTCTCAAAATACTTAAAATTTAGTGTTAGAATATAATATTTATCATTATATTTAATATGTTTTTAATGAAATCGAGAAACATTCTTTTTTTACGTTTTCTCTACAATCAGCTAGCAAAACGTATTAATGAAAATTTTTAAAAATAAGCAACAATTATTAAAACTCAGTGCATTTTATAAGGTTTTTAAAACAATTATAAATTAGTAAAATACACGGTAGTGTATTTCTGTCCAAACAAATTAAATCAATAGAAATAATGCATCAACCTATTTTGTGCTTTCTTTCGCGAACACGGGATGATGCCACGTTCTTATAAGTCGTTAACTTATTAATCGATCGTGTCATTAACATGTTATCTAACATACCATTATCGCAGCGTAAGTGAAATTGGGAAACATTTAAAAGATTAAATGCTAATAAATTGATAAGAAAAAGATGTATTATCAATGCATCTTTATCTTCACAACACGTTTCGCCGGTAGCAAAAGTGACCCAATACACGAACTAGAGAAGATTTTAACTCTTCAAGTTCAAGGACACTGCTCGTAGCGTGGAATGTTCCTTGTAGGCAGTCCGTTGTAAGAACTTCGAAGAACATTACAATCCAGATTTATCTTAACAAATCAAAAGTGACCCTGTTCTGATTTTTTTCTGGTATGTTTCCTAAGAAAAAAACAACATACCTGGAATGAGAGTTAATGAGCATCTTTGCCTAAGAGGCGTTGGCGAATTCGTTGGCCTCCTTTAACGTTTCGTTGAGCTAGATTTCTCTTTCAATCCGTTCCTCGTGCATCAATTAATCTTTTTAATCAATATGGGTCTCTCATATCCAATTAGGAATCTGGAACCAAAGTGCACAAAAAAAGTTTTATTTTTTGGGGATTTTTTGTACAGGCATGTTTTGTATGTCCCGAGTTGTGTAAGTAAATGATGAAATAAGAAAAAGAATTACCAGATATTGGCGAAAGATTAAGTACAGTTTGTTCTAAGTTGGTTAATTCTCACAAGAACTTAGAAATTTTTTCCGGGTCAAAAAAAAAACAATAATAAAAATTTTTTTAATTGCATAATCCGAAAAAAGGATCGTTAAAAAAATGCTCCTAAGCGTTTGAATTCAAACTATCTCTTTATTCGATGTAATATAAAATGGTGGTGTAATATTTTTCTACTACAGTGAAACCTCCAGTAAAAACCACCTCTGTATAGCGATCTCCTCTATTTATGGCCACTTTTAGGAGGCACAGAATTTTTTCCATAGACTTAGTGTTGAAGAAAACCTTTAGGAGAGACCATTAGAATCTCTCCCAATGGCCGGACAAACCTCTGCATGATTTGGCGGGTATTGAAATGCATTTATAAAGGCGAATTTCTCTAAACTAAAACAGATTATGTTCTCGAGTTTAGCTGAACCAAATTTTACTTTTTTATTTAAAACTTTTTATGTATCTACGGTGGTAAACAGAGTACATATTAAAAAATTCGAATTTAATATGGTTCAATATTTAATGGGCAAGCATAATAAATTAACTATTATATTTTAAAACCGTCATTGGACAGCAGACCCAATTTTTTGAATTACGACTCTCAATGTTCAACTTCGTTTCCTTGTAATTTTCAACAAAATCCAGAGGACAAGGGAACCTCGATCAAGTATTGGGAGAAATTTACCTTCGTGGAATTAATTGTACTTCGTGTAAATTGTACTTGGCAAGTGTATACATCTGTGATTTTGTCTCAGTTTTAACTTTTCAATTTTAGCACTATATTCATTTATGTCATTTTATCCCTTCACCTTTTGACGGTTTTATGAGTTGTATTTACGGCTGGTTTTGGTGAATTGTCAGATTTTTTGTCTTGTATTGAGGGGTCCACCAGCTCTGGCTCACAGCTCACTCAGTTTTTACTGGTTGTCTCAGGGTTCATAATTTTTGTATTTTATATATATATATATAATTTTTGTATTTTATTTATATAAGGGTTAATAAGTTTTGTGTTTTATATATACATATAATTTTTGTATTTTATTTATATAAGGGTCTGTTGACCCTTTAAATGATCCATTGTGTTTGGCGTATGGGCCTATTGGCCTAGGCCGCTGTATATATAATAAAATAGCTTACCTTCGTGGAAGACTTTTTTGATGGAACTAACCCGCATTTATGCTACATGGAGATGAAAACACTTTTTATTTCGTTCAGAGTAGTTAAAACTATATCGAACTAAAGCATTTCTATTTTTAAACACTCGAATTCTTATGGGGAAATTATATCAAACGAATTATCACCTAATCTCACTAAATATGAGTTTAAAACTAGTTTGATAATTAAAATAACATAGATAGGACATTAATTTATTGTTGGTGGAATAAAAAGTGTGAATCAATCAATCATTATTTGAACTCATTCAGAATAAAAACAATTAATATATTTCTTTTATCGTAGGTTGAGAAAAATGTGCTCCTAGCATCGAGCTCCAATCAAGACATTTCAGTGTCCGAGCTTCTATTTTCTTGCAATAACAGAGCTCCAGGTTATTATGCTGACCCAAGGTTCAGCTGCGAACTTTTCCACTTTTGTCACTCAGATGGAACCAGAGTATCCATCCCATGTTTCCTAGAAAACCAAAAACACAGAATATGTCTTCTGAAAGACATAGTTAAAAGAGCTTGTGACGGCTCCGAACTTTTCATATCTCTTCCAGAGGATTTGACCTTCAAATCCACCAAGGACACCACAGCCTCAGCTCTGAACTCAGCGACCGAATTCAAACTACCTCACATTTTAGCAGAGCCGACACTTTCGTCCGAAAGCAAGACGACCCCTCTGCCGACTGAAATCGGAAAACCCTCAAAGGTTAAAGAAGTCGGAGGCGTTTATGAAGTGTTCAACAGCTTTTTGAAAGAGATCGAAGCCTCAAATCTGCCAGATGACAAGACGAAGACTGAAAATGCCTCTTTCAGGCTGAAGCCATCAACTTTCAGCAGGAGATCTCACGTGCCTTATTCTTTGGAATTGGATCCTTTGATCAATGAGAACAGACGATCGGATGCCAACGGTGCTGTTTTGGTCGAAGTTTATAACGACAGGGATTATGGCGATGGATCGGATTATCGCCCATATCAAAGAAAAGCTAAAAAGTTTCAATTTTCTGATTCAAAGAAGTCTTCTTTTAAACTTCCTCGAAGAAAACGATCAGTTCCATCACAATTTAAGGCAACTCAACCGTACGCTATTGTCTATGCCAAAGTTCCGGATACTACTTTAGCAAGTTCTTCTGACATTTTCCAAAGAAATGCACAAAACCGTCATCAGGTAATTAGCTATATTTAGAAATTTTCCAAATTCAAATTATTTCCTTTATATAGAGTTCTCTTTAACCTTTATTTAGTTATTTATCATTAAACTTTGAACGTTAGGAGCCGTATAGATTTTACTTTAATAATCACCATTAAATAAAATATTTCTGCCTTTTTTTTGCAAATAAAAATTAATATAATTTAAATTCAGTGTTTTTTTAAAAAAACTATGTTTTATTGGAGTAGTTTTATTCTTGTTCAAGACAAAAAGTATGAACTTCTATAATGAAATTAAATTACATTAAAGAATATATTTACATATAGAATGTTCTAGACATAAATACGATTTTCTAGATAATGTATAACTAAATAATATGGAATCCAAATAATTTTATGTTAAATATACATTGTAAGTGTACGAAAAAATAGCAGCGAGTTTTAATTTTTTAATTTATAGTTCTGTAATGCTCTGTTTATTAAATTTAACTAACAATACTAATAATTAACTAATAATATTTTCTACAACAAGCTGATCAATAAGGCCTGTCGGCTCAACGAGCTTATTAAAAGTCATTTTTAATCACAGTCTAATTTCGTAAAACTATTTTCTTAACTTGCATTACAATTATAGTAATTTGAAATTTCTAAACAACTTATAAGTTCTATTAATTGTTCAAAGAAAATGAATCGATAAATTATTAACTTGAATTTTGAAAATATAAAACTGGCAAGCGAATATTTCTTATTCATCTAATTAAACTTTTGGTAATTTTACTAATTGCTCAAAAACTTTCAAGTCATAAGTCATTTTAGTATTTAAAAATATTTCAGAAGGAAAATGCTATTCCATTTGCTCCAGCCCTTGTACCATCTGATGTTCCTGTCGTACCCGTGACCTTAGAAGTTCGCCAAAGAAAAAAAGATAGAACCCAAAATAATTACCAACAACAGCTAAAAGAACCTCGAACCCGTGGACAAATTGCTGCAGAACAACGAAATGTGTACTATTATAGTCCTGACGAATCTAATGTTGAAGACAACCGTAATGTCAACCCTAGAGGTTCTGCTCGACCACAGTCTCTAAGACCAGGTGAAATAGAGCATCGACAAGGAGAAAGGTTGACGAATTCCCAAAGCAACACTCGACAAAACTCTCCAGGCCAAGATAGAATGCTCTTATACGCTCCCCAAGTATCTAATCCACTGAATTTGCCGAATTTCCCATTCCAGCCTCAACCATTTTTAAATGATATCAGACAAACATCATTCTTTTACCCTTCCCCTGGAGTGCAAGAAGAGTCAGTGCCTTCATTTGGACCACAGATAAACAGACCAAGCCAATACCTGCGGCAGCCACAGTCTCCCGAATCACCACCACTGGAAAATAGAAGACCGATTCCAACACCAGAAGCTAGACAACCTAGACCACATGGAGGACACGAAGAACAACAGACTTCCGAAAGAAGTGCTTTACCTCAAATCGAAGGGCCAGTGCAAAATTTCCAAGGATTTCAAAACCCATTTTTCAGTAATTTTCCTGGCTATGTGCATTACAATGGACTTTATTCTCAACCAGATGTTGCACCACATGGTGGTTTTTCACCACCACATGCGCAAGTTCTTCCACCCCAGTTTCCACCACAACAGCTGGTACCAAGAGAGCCCCCTCAACATAATGTTCCAGAAAGACCCCGGCAGCCAATCACGGAGAGACCTCAAGTTCATATTAGACCAAATAATGGTGAATCTGGAGGTCAAAACCCTACAAGAAAACCTAATGTTCAAAGTCAAGAACTAAGAAATCCAGAAAGGTTGGTTATTTTAAGTTTTAGTCCTCAATAGTAGCAACTAATTCATTTAGTAGTAAGTTCACAATATCATGAAACTAATTATGTAAAATGGAAAAGCCTATAATGTTATTTATTTAAATTCATAAGGTGAATACAATTTTATATAAGAATTTTACAGATTATTCAAGGCAAAAAAAATTTATAATAATAATCATTGAACATTTTAGGACGGCTAAAGATCAAATTAAACCACACATATCTTTCAAAAAAGTACATGTGTGCATCAAATTCAAATTAATTTTCTCACCATACTATTTTCAAACCATAATGATTTAAAATATTTTCAATTTTTATTTATGTAATGTCCTAAATCGTTAATATCTTTTGAGGCGAAACTTAATTGCTGAACATCTATAACTATACTAGATTAAAAATTAAACATCAAAACGGAAATGCATGATGAGAACAATTAATATTCTCACAAGTGGATGCAGGCCTAAAAATATTTTAAAATAATATTTTAAATATTTTAAATCGATATTTTAAAGTTTTAAATTCCAAAGTTTAAAAAAGGTGCTAGAAAAAAAACAGACATGAGCTTGGAACTGAGAAAGAAAATAAAACTTTTCCATTGAAATCCATTTAAATTAAAATATTTTCTACCAAATGAAAATTCTAAGCATTAGCGACTGAATATTAATAATTGAATAAATCAATTTATTTTTCAACAAGATAACTGTCATTTAAAGTCGTATAGTTATTTTTAAAGCATATATTACAAGAATTTCTAATAAATTGCATTTAATTATAAATAAGTAAATGCATCAAATGCCTTATAAATAAATGCCTCATAGCCTTTCAAAGTTGAATGACCACTTTTTGTGAGAGAAATAAGACAAATCTTTACAATTTTGAGGATTCAGGGCTTTTTCTTTATGAAGCAACGTGCATCTTATTGCATGATTAAAACATTTTTCCTTTGAAATGAAAAACGATATATTAACAATTAATATTTTTTTATAAAAAAATTATTTGCAAAATGCGATAAGCCATATTTACATAAAATTAATTAATTTAAATATTTTTTTCGCAGACAACCAAATGGATTCATACCTGACCAAGTGATATCTCCACAACCGATTCAGAGACCATACAGACCAAGGCAGTACATGCCAGAACAACCGCCTCCACCACCTCCACCTATATATCAGCCTAATCTAAACAGAGAAATACCCTATAACCAATCTCCAAGACAACCAACTCATAATAGAGATGCGCCTGAAAGAAATTTAAGAAGACCGACACCACCTGTTAGTCATCATCAATCATACCATCCAGACATCATTTTGGAAAGACCAGAGCCTATTCCTCCAAAACCATTAAGAAATAGGGAACCAGTTCCTGGTCCAAACACAATTTCAGTACGAGAGCGAAATCCCAACTTTTTACAACCCCAAAATATTGATGGAGCAAACAGAAACGCTTACGGGCATAGAGAAGAATCTCCACCAGTACGAAGTAATCACGAGCATTCTAGACGTCCCGAATCACAACGCAATACACCACCACCTGTAAATATACAAACTCCTTTTTATCGCTCACCTACACCACCACCACCTTCTTCAAGAATTAGGAGTCAAACAAGAAAACCATCTAATGAAGACAATAGAAGACCATATCCCGTTAAAGAAGATATAGAGCATGACATAGTTGTTGAAGACCAACGTGCAGTACGACACCAACATATTCCATCTTCGCCTGTTGAGTATACTCGAACGCGAACACCTATACAAAATATACCAGATTCAAGAAGACATAGAGATCAGCATTCTACGAGGAATCGATTTCCAAATGATTCCGAAAATGCACGTAGACCTTCAACTTCTCAAGTCACGCGATACCAAGAAATGTCTGTTCCAAGAACACGTGGAAGTACCAGAGATCAAATTGAAAGACCTCCGCAAAATTATGTACCGGCCAACAGCCTTCCTGACACTTTTGAACCACCTCGTGACTACATAAATCCCCCACCAAGTAATGATGTTGTTGATATTATATCTTACAATGGCGAGACACAAAATAGGCAAAGACAACCGGAATCACAAATAAATCACCCTTATAATCACAGAGATCATCACAACCAAGGAAATCCAGTCATTAGTTACACTCCTGAGTCTATCGTAGAATTCAACCCATACACAGATAAACCACTAAGAGAGACCCATTCAAACACACGATTGCCAAACATCGAGGTTGTTGAAGTTTATAGACACCCAGAAAATATTGAAAGCAATCGCTATCAATACCTTGATGATGAATACCATACCACTAAACAGGTAACTACTACCCGTGCTCCGAAACGAAGGCCACCTCCACCAAAGCCTACATTCCCAGCATTCCCAACGTTCCCTCCCCCTCCCAGAAGACCAATAACCACCCCTCGAGCCGAAACTCCAGAAGAGCCACTCTATAAGGAAGCTGGTGACCCTACTGAAGACTCTGAAAAGTCAGTTTTATCATCTTTTGGCGATACTCATCCATCAGAAGCATACACTGAATCGGAAAGATCAAGGAGTCAAGATAATGTCGAAGCTAACTTTTATTCAACTGAAACACCTGAAGTTACTACAAGAAGACGAACTAGAAAACGAAGACCTCGTCCTAGGAAGCCAAAACCATCCGAAGCTTTAACTGAAGACGGTCTTTACATTCGAGAAACCATTACAGAACCTACAATAGAAACTGAAATCTCAACTCGATCAACTTCAAGCCGTTCAAACAGCAAATGGCGTCAGAACTCTACAAATCAACCACGCAGGCGCACCACCACATCATACCCTGAAACAGATACAACCACAGTTTCCACAAAATCTGAAGAATATGGAAGTCGAATAAATCTCTTTGGACGCAATAGGAGTAGGAGACCAACTGTTTTACAGGCAAGAAGTTCTCCAACGACTCAATCGCAGCCATTATTGAGAGAAGAATCTCAGCGAGTGACCAAGACTCCTACAGTACTAAGATCAAGGAAACCATACGCAAAGCGGGTTCGTGTAAAGACAACCACTACAACAAGCACTGAAAATCCAGACACTGTCGAAAGCATAAATAGAAGTGATGAAAATGAAGGCATGCTTAATTACCAGCGAGAAGAAACAACCGTTAACTCTAAAGAATCGCCCCAAAGTGAAACAACTACTTTAGCGCCGGTAGAAATCATAACCGAAACTCAAACGGAAACGGAATCTTATAACGATCTAGTCCAGACCACAGAATATCCATCATTTTTGGAGGGAGAAGATGGTGTAACAGAGGCAAATTTGGAAGGAGAAAGCAAGATGTCTGACTTCGAAAGTAGGCGATCAGTTAATAAAAAATTCCAAAATCGACCACGAATTCTGAAGTTTGGAAAACCTAAGTTAAGAACGACGATTTCCCCTATAGAGCTGAATGAAGCAGATAGTCGAACTGCTTAAAGTTATGGATTATAGAAGATGGGAAATTGTTTTTAAGACGAATTGATGACTTCAATTTTCGGGCATTGATTATCTTTGAAAAGTATTCAGATCAGAAGTAATAAAAGAATACTTTTAGAAACGTTATTTATTTTGAATCTTAAGCAAACACATCGCCTAGATTCCTTAGCATCATCCGAAAAACGTAATCATGTTATTTGCCAAACACACCTATGATAATAAGTGTGACTTCCGTGCGCGTTCAACTATCATACTTTTGAAAATAAGTGATTAAAGATCTATCTTACTTTGTGTTAAATCCAAAAAAGAGCAGCGTTCTCGATGAACTTTGTCCTTTGATTGGATTTTGTAGAAATCCTATTCTGTTCTATATGAAACTGTTGCAAGTGCCAAGCTATCTAATTACTCGAACTGCATATTTTTTTACAGAAAAAAAATCGAGTGTTAGATTTAAAATGGTGTTATATGTTACTGTTATGTATGCAAGTGGAATCAAAAACTAACTATTTATATGTTTATCATTTTTAAAATAAAATTTTTTTTCAGAGAAGTGTTATCTGTCTCGATTTTAAGTTAAACCGTAAGATTTCGTTTCTTCAATTTTAGTACAATTGAAAATTGCTAAAATTCCTCATACGGAAAACGATATTTAAAAAATAAGCAAAAAAAATTAACATTTTCCAAAAATCGTGGTTAGAAACATTTTTACACTTGAGCATGAATGAACATAACTACACCCCTTTTACCAAAATTGCCAAAGAAAAAAAAATGAAGATTTGAAAAATCACAGAAGGAAAGAAATCGAAATGTCCAGTTCATTGCATTCTGCTAAAGAAACCAGAAATTTATTCTTACCTCGTTTCAAAATTAGTTAAGTTTGCTAGCATATGACTCTATTAGATAAAAAAAAAACAGTAAAACAATATTTTCAAAACAATCACTATTTTCAATAACAACGCCCTACAATATAAAGAAGTATTTAATAGAAGTTCGTACAAATAAATTATTTGGAATGGTTTAACAAGAAGAAGCATCTTTTGAGAAACATTGTAACTAATTTGAGATTTTGTGAGATTAAATTAGCTTTTTTCTTTAAGCAGAATTTTGCAATCCCAACATTTTAGAGCCACTTTAAAAAAAATATTGTTTCCGAAAAAAATTAACATTTTCTTTTAGCTTTTAAGAAATTTTCTCACTTAGATATTTTTTCCGATCACTTTGCTTAAAACTTGGTGTATTTGTTTCAAATACCTTTTAACTCTTCAGCAATTTTTCAAATGAAAAATCGATCAATTCACTATAAGCCATTGCACTATCTAACAACATGGGAAAAGTGTGTTTGCTATGCCAAGAAAAATTGTGAACAAAACATTCGTGCATGACTTACAGAAAGTGATAGAAACCAGATGATGAATTAGGTTTTTAATACTTATGGGGATATAATTTGCAAAGAAATTTAAAAATAAAATAGTAAATTTCAGTTTAAAATTATTAAAATAAACTGTTGTTCAAATTTACTTTTAGAAATTCCATAAAGCTTTTAGCACAAAGGGTAGAGAGAATTCAACAAAAAAAATTTTTTTTAAAAATTAATAAGACTCCGAATATAATTTTAACTTCAATCATGAATATCTTAGAAAACAAGTAATTTTAATAGAAACAATTCTTGTTTACTCGGTGAATATTAAAAAGTGGCCAAAAAAAGAAATAAAAATTTATTATACCAGAGCTTCTCACTTTTTCATTTTAAACTTTTTCTTGCGAACTAACTATTGGTATACTAGTCTTTCTCCAGTTGCGATTTTAAAAAAAATTCCCTTATTTTTGTTCGAAGGCTTTTTTTTTCGTCATATATATATATCTACGGCAGAAGGAAGAAAAGTATTCAAAATTGAGTTAATTTAACAAAGAAAATGGAAGTTAAAACATTTTTTCAAATATTGAATTTTGCATTTGTTTTTTGATGCAAACAAAATAATAAAAGAAAAAAAAATATTTTTTACCATGTCAAAAATAATTTATTTAACAAAGGGTTAAACAAGCGAATATTTAAAAAAAAATATGTCTGTTGGGATTTTTTCTGTAGTTCATTATTTAACATTTCAGTAAAACTAAATGTATTTTTTTTTATCATCGCATGTCAAAAAAAATTTAATATTGGTAAAGGTAACAAAGAACAATTCTGTGTACATGATTTTTCGCCCCGTGATTTTTCATACAAATTAAATACTAAGGCATAAGTTTTTAATCTTTTTGTTACAAGTTGAAAATAATTTAAGAGGGGTTAAATCTATTTACTGCTTGAAATTTTTCGAATGACTAACAAAAATATAAATAAGTCGTATGCATCTTTTTAAAGTTGAGTAAATGTAATCAGTAATATGGCTGAATTAAAATAAAGAAGGGTAAGACTAAATTTTTTTATGTAACGCTGGCAGAATAAATCAATAAACCTGATTAACAAAAATTCGCTTGTTATGAAAGAAACGAATAAAAATGTATAGACATTTTTTCCTCCTAATCTTTCTTCTGAATTAAGGATGTTAAATTGGTTCTAGTACAATAGAAAAAAAATCTGTTGGGTTATCGGAATTATGTTTGTACTAAAATATAAAATCCCGAAAAAAGTATTCTGAGACATTTTTGACTCCTTCGTACTCAAAAACTTATCGATAATTGATTTTGTAAATTAAAGAAATGTCAATGCTGAATAATTATTTCTCTTAGATCTATCTAATAATAATAATAAATAAGCGCAAATATGAAAAATAATTGTTTGGAGGTGAGTCGTCTTTAGAAGATTTTACCTTTAGAACAGACCGGTGTTTCCTGCTGTATTTCATTACCATAAATTATTAAAATGATAAATATAATATTTATCGTTTATTTTGATATAAATTATACAAAATATTGAAAAAGTAAGAAAAATATATTAATTAAAAATTTATTTTGCATCAAAGGGTTTAACTCATCAATCTTTTAAGACCAGGACAAATTTCTTAATATTACCTGTTTTGCACACAAAAAATTTTACAGTTAAAATGTAACAATGGTAGAAAAATAATTACTTATTGATATTTATCCAGCACAAAGTACATAATCAAATTTGAACGCATATTTCGATATGTTATCACGCAACTAAGAATTTCTTAGAACTAATGTGAATTCGAAACGTGAAAGAAAAAACCTAATTAGTTTTTTAAACAAACCTTAAAAATAAATATTTTTATTTTTAAATAATGATTTAATACAATGTTCATTTTTAAATTAATATACACACAGGATAGCACCGATTTGGTTTCAAAATATCTTTCAGTTTTTAGAAGTCTTTATTTTCCACTATTACAGGGGAAATAATATGGCTTATACAACTGCAACTGGGTAATTTTCAAAATCTATTGGAATTTATAAAAAAAATTCCAAATTTAAATAGTCTATTTACTAGTTATAAACATTTCAACAGCGGAATTGGAATGTTTCTTGCCCATAAAATTTAAAACAACAATGCATTTCTTGGTTTGAAACACAAAAATAAATCATTAACTTGTATCTGCATTATATTCCCGTCTGTTTTTGATCTTTACAAATGTTTAAATAAAACATTAAACATCACAGTTTCAGCACTTACATTATTTTTACTAAAATGCAATATCAAATATTTTTCTTCATTATTATTTTTATTACTATAAAAGATAAAATATATTTATATTATATAATATAACAATATATTATATAATGTTACTATTTATAGAAAAAAAGTGAAAGTTTTTATTAAATCTACTATTTAATATTTCAAGTTAATAATATTAAAAAAAAATGCTACATTACAAATATTACATACTGCAGTCAAATTTACACTGTGAATCACTAAAATTGCTTTTTATTAGATTATATTATGAAATAAAGCTTAATAAATGGTCAATAACAAACAGAGTGGAGAAAACTAACACAGGAAATACAGCAAAATTTTAAAAGTTCCAGCATTGCAAATTACTGAGTTTTAGTAATACAAGTATTGATTCCTATCTATATTTCTTTTATAAAACTTAAGATGTAATGAAATACTAAATAAAAATATACTAAATAATAATAAATAAATAAAAACAGGTTCTATTGGAAAGAAGTGTTTATACAAAACTAAAAACATAAATTAACTTTAAATGAACATAAAAACAATAAATTTAAAACAATTATTCTAGTAACAGATGGGAAATTAAATCAAACTTCCTTACCTTATTCAAGCTTTATTGTCTTAAAATTCGGCATATATAACGATAATTTTTAGAAAACAACTGAATTAAATTAGCTTACATGTAACACAATTTTAATAACCAAATAAATTAAAATTTCAGAGGAATACCTGCAAGTGACGTAGTGTTGATGTCTCAATACTAATTGTTTGTTGAAACATGCCATTTGTTTGCTTTATCAACTATTTATTTACATTTTATTTCGAGAAAAACGAGAGCGTCAAAGATCAAATTCTCTCAAGTGACACATTCTATATACGTTCACAAAGATTTCAATTATTTCATTATATATTTCTTACTTATCACGAAGACAGACACGAAGCCATGCAGAACATAAACAAACTAACTATGCATCAAAGTTGCCAGGTTCACAAAACAAAAATATAGCTCGGTTACAATGAAATTCATAAACAAGATTGTTTGGTTTGATTTGATTTGATTTGATTTGTTCATTTACGTCGCACTAGAGCTGCACTATGGGCTATTGGCGACGGTCTGGGAAATATCCCTGAGGAAGATCCGAAGACATGCCATCACAATTTTGATCCTCTGAAGAGGGGGATGGCACCCCCGCTTCGGTAGCCTGACGATCTGCACGCGAGTCGAGCACTTTACGGTAGAACAGTTTAACGAGGACCAGTACCGCACACCCTCGGTCCCTACGCAGACTGATCCAAGTGGTCACCCACCCACACACTGACCGCAGCCAGTGATGCTTGACTTCGGTGATCTGCTGGGAACCGAGTCTCAACAATCAGTTCACTGCGGGACTCATAAACAAGAAGAAGCCAGGATAGCCTGACTAAAAGGCGTTGAGCCCATGTCCGAGAGGTCATAAGTTCGATCTCCATCTGTCGAACACTCCCCGTGTACGAAATGGTGATTGGTGCAAGCAAAATTTATCATGATCACAAATTCCTCAAAGTTTTCATTGCAAATCAATACCTCTGGGGGTACTAGATCGGTGATAGATAGTGCTCTAGTTCTGGTCAAAATCACGTTCTGCGGATAGATGGATGATCTGTCAATGTGTCCTTCCTGTGAAACGGAATGTATATTGTCTCCGGATCATCCTTAGGGATGTTTCCCAGACCGTAACCAATAGCGTATTGTGCAACTCTAGTGCAACGCAAATAACAAATTCATTGTGCGATACTGTGTGGTATTTAATTAACTTCACGCTAATAACATTCTAACTTAGGAGAGAGCTAGCTCGAGAAACTTCACTCGTCTTTAACACGCCAAATTGTTTTTAAACAATAAGCTGGCGCTGAGGTAATATTAAACTATTGGTATAGGCCACGTGTTTGTTTATCAGTGACCAGTTTAGAGTTGCAAGAACCCAATTTGCAATTAAGTAAAAGGCAAATAAAGCTAGAACATAGCACTTTAGTTGCAACTGATTGGCACAGGCATATTTTTAGAATAATCATTTATTACGTATCTACAAAAATATGTTGTAAATTAATTTGATGTTGTTGTTGTTGTTGTTCATTTACGTCGCACTAGAGCTGCACAATGGGCTATTGGCGACGGTCTGGGAAACATCCCTGAGGATGATCCGAAGACATGCCATCACAATTTTGATCATCTGCGGAGGGGATGGCACCCCCGCTTCGGTAGCCCGACGACCTGCACGCGAAGTCGAGCACTTTACGGTAGAACAGTTTAACGAGGACCAATACTGCACACCCTCGGTCCCTACGCAGACTGATCCAAGTGGTCACCCACTCGCACACTGACCGCAGCCAGTGATGCTTGACTTCGATGATCTGCTGGGAACCGAGTCTTAACGATCAGTTCACTGCGGGACTCATAAACAAGAAGAAGCCAGGATAGCCTGACTGAAAGGCGTTGAGCCCATGTCCGAGAGGTCGTAAGTTCGATCTCCATCTGTCGAACACTCCCCGTGTCCGAAATGGTGATTGGTGCAAGCAAAATTTATCATGATCACAAATTCCTCAATTTCATTGCAAATCAAAACCTCTGGGGGTAGTGGATCGGTGATAGATAGTGCTCTAGTTCTGGTCAAAATCACGTTCTACGGATAGATGGATGATCTGTCAATGTGTCCTTCCTGTGAAACGGAATGTATACTGTCTCCGGATCATCCTTAGGGATGTTTCTCAGACCGTAACCAATAATGTATTGTGCAACTCTAGTGCAACGCAAATAACAAATTCATTGTGCGATACTGTGTGGTATTTAATTAACTTCACGCTAATTACATTCTAACTTAGGAGAGAGCTAGCTCGAGAAACTTCACTCGTCTTTAACACGCCAAATTGTTTATAAACAATAAGCTGGCGCTGAGGTAATATTAAACTATAGGTATAGGTCACGTGTTTGTTTATCAGTGACCATCTTCTAGAGTTGCAAGAACCCAATTTGCAATTAAGTAAAAGGCAAATAAAGATAGAACATAGCACTTTAGTTGCAACTGATTGGCACAGGCATATTTTTAGAATATTAATTTATTACGTATCTACAAAAATATGTTGTAAATTAATTTGAATGCTTGAAAAGGACCCAACAATGATTAATCAAATTTTTAACCTGCTTTAACAAATCGAATTGATTTTTACTTAGCGTATTATTTGCCTGTTTACAATATTTTTAGTTTTGTTTAATAAAAATGACTCAGCCGTTACTTGTTTAGGGCATTTCTTAATTTTCTTTTCAATCTAAAGAAGTTTCTTGGCATACAAAAATTACCGACCGACGATGTGTTTAAATTTAATTTCATTATCTCTTAGTGCTGCCATCTACATAACTACAGGAAAAACAAACTAAGTTGCTTTTTTTCTACATCTTTGTCAAACCATTTATAATGAGTAAATAATTTTCGCAATGATTCTTTATAAATAATAATTTTGAAATGATATATATTTTAAAGATAAATTAAGATCTATTTCGAAAAACAACATTGACGTTACCCAGCAATTATCTTTAGAGCTGTTAATAATGATTTTGTTTAATTACTCAATGTGGAAACAAAGTTTCAAGTAAATGTGCAGAAGCTTGATTCGTATAATTAATTTCATTTTAAATCACATAGACGGTTCCACGCTTGGAATTTACACCATAATTTTGAAATATTTTAGGCATAATTTAATCTCGATAACATTTGTTCTAAAATTCTCCTATGCTCTTTCCTTTAAAAAGAAAAAGAAAAAAAGAGGAAAAAAGTGATAAATATAGCAGCTATTTTCAACAGAATCTTTGTTTACAAGTGACTATAGTTCCCTTTTTGTACATGTATGAAAGCCAAAGAAAATTAGTTCATAATACATCGAAAATGCTTTTAAATTAGTGCAATATAAATTTTAAGCTTTTCTTTTGAACTATCATTTTTTTAAAGAAAATAAAAAAGCAAAATATATTGATTTACTAAAAAAATTAGATAAATTAATTACGTAAATATGTTTTTTTTTTAATTTGAAAGAGAAAAAAAATAAAAATTTTCAAAATTATAAAATTATTTTCTATCAAGATCAAAAGTCATAAATCATTATTAAAAATTCAGAACACTTATAAAATAACTTATTATTGTCTATGAAACGTTATTTTGTTAAACGAAGGAGTATTTTAATAACAGCCTTACAACTAGAGAATTTATTTAAAAATAAAATAAAGTTACAGATGGAAAATGGGTTATATTTATTATGAGTTTTCGCCCGATATTGATAAGAATAATATTTACCTTTAAAATCGTTATGATGCTTTCATATGCAGCCAATCGATTGAAAGTAATCGAATTTTCAAAAAAAGTAGTAATATTTATAATACAGTAATATTTTGTCAAAAAGATGTATTCCTCATCTAGCTTAACAATAAAGTTGACTTAGGCTTTCTAAAAATAACATCCCAATACTATCTACAACAATATTCAATAAAAGCTAAAATTAATAAATTTACTTTCAGCTGTCATTAACTCTTAACTGTCCGAAAACAGTAATTAATGTTGTTAATCCTTGAACTTCTCAAGGCTGAAAAATATTTACTAACTCGTTAAGTTATTTATTAGAAGAACTATATATTTTGATTACAAATATAGCATTGACTTTCTATTTTCATGGTTAATTATGTACTCTAATATCTTATGCTGCTGCTGCCGTATATATTACATAAATAGGCACTATTATTATTTATTATTTTCAACTTAAATCATAAGCAATTGCTGGTTCTTTTTCAACGCTTACTTAAAAATGTATATTAAATCTAACTCAAAGTAAAGGTCTTCAAGCTTTTCGGCCCGAGGGCCGCATAAATAAATTCGAGATATTCTAAGGGCCACCCATATGCTAGTGGCAAAGAAATTAATTGAAAATAATGAAGTAACAGTTTGAATGTAGGTTACGTAATTTTAGTATTTTTAACATATGCATAACATGTATTTTTAACATTTTATTGAAAATTGAAATAAAATTAAAGAAGTCTCAATTCATTTTTAGCATTATTTTATTAAAAATTGAAATAAAATTCGAGAAGTCTCTAATCCCCTTTTAAGGTTTATTATTTTATTAAAAATTTAAATAAAATTAGAGAAGTCGGAATTCATTTTTTAACATTTAGTATTGTATCTAAAATTAAAATAAAATTAGAGAATTCTGAATTTCTTTTTCGTTTTGTTATTGTTTGAAGCAGCCAAATAGTATTATTATAATACATTAAACATCAACAGTAATACAGTGGGGAAAAATACATACTACAGTTGAAAAATAAATTAATATACTTGATAAAATAACACAAAAAAAATTTTAAAATTAAAAAAATTTCATTAAATTTTTTTTAAGCTTTGAATATTTGAAGCAATAATTGTCCGATTTATGATATCACATGAAAAATTCCATTAATAAAATTAATTTTAAAAAAATTTAATAATTAAATAAATAAAAAATTGATTTAATTAATTAAACATTATAAAAGGCGTATTATAGTACTTCTAACATACACATTTTGTTGGGGATTTCGTTAACGCAACATATAGAATAAAATAAAGAGTAGACGCAATTTGGAAAATATGGTCCCAACAGTTAGGTCAGGAATACGATCCAAAGTTTGGATCCCTTAATGTTAATTTTTTGCGTATTTTGCCATAAATCGAAAACGTTTTAAGCTAATTGAAAAATATTTGTACACAAATATAAAGTTCGTTTATCCGAAGACAATTCCATGCAAAAAATAATTTTTTAATTTTTATTTTTTATTATTTTAATTATTAAAAGTCGAAAAAATTTGGAATTGTAAATTGCACAAACATTTTACATCACTTTAAAAAACGTACTGTTATATTGCAAAATACAAAATTTGAATGAATTCGGTTTAATAGTGCCTGAGAAATCGAATTTTAAACTGTCATATATTTAAAATTCGATAGGATTTGGATCATCTTCAGACCACCGATCGGAATAAATTGCTAAATGTATTATTAACTATACGTTATCTATTTTTAAGAATACTAATTGCGGTTAAAGTTTAATAAAATAATTTTGCAAAACAATTTTGTTCAAATTGCGAAATTTAGGAAAAACATTAATTCGCGGAAATTCAGAATTCGGAAATTCTCTTCAACTCTATTTATAAATGATAATATTCGCTCCCTTTATACATGTATTATAAAGAGTTTCGGACTAAATTAAAATTTTTAAAATTTTCATTTTTCATATCAAAACTTCCATTCTTCATATGAAACAGATTTCAATTGAATTTCTCAAGCTCAAATAGAAAGTAATTTATGATATTAATAAGTCTGTAAATCGATTGTTCCTTATCCTCCGTGGTTGCGAAGAGATATCATTATTTATAATGATATCTCTTCATTAAAGAAATTCATTAATTTTTTTTGTTCATTGTTTATCAATAAGCACTCCAACTAAATAAAATGCTTTGAGAAATCATCAGTTTGGTGGTGATTTATTTACATAAAATTCAATGATAAAACTAATAATTTCTTTAATGTCCTATTTCAATTGCCGACACTGTTCATTATTTCTTTCGTGAAGAGCATACGACTTGCTTGGAATATTTCTCTTCCTTCTTTTTGTTTGCTTCAGAGTATATTTCGATCCACTAATACTCAAACTTCGATGATTATCATACCTGAAAAACAATTTAAAAATGTTTTTAAACAATGCAAAAACAACATTTCGTCACATAAATACAATTTTTAACTTTACATTAACAGCAGTAGTACGATAATACAGATCAGATTCACTCAGGGCCGGATTACCCATTAGTCCAGTCTAGGTCATGGCCTGGGGCCCCCATTAATTAGGGGCCCCCTTAAAATGGATTTTTTTTTAAAATAAATTTTAAAAAATTAAGAAAAACAATGATTTTTCAAATTTTTTCAAAATGTTATGATTATTTTTTAGTTCCAATTTAATAAAATAAAGTAAAATTTAATTCATTATTATTTATTTTTATTTTAAATATGCTTTCTTAAATGAAAAGATAAATAAAAAATAGTGCGAGGAGTCCCTCCGCGAGGAAGTAGTGAAACTTCGTAATGTGGAAATGAAAATAGAAAGGGATAGAAATTGATTTTTAGTGAAATCATACTGTTTCTTTAAGACGAACTTTATTAACATTGCTTACAATTCACAATTGATCGCATCTTTTAATTATCATTTTCGAGTGGAGAAATATCCGAATCTATAACATTTACAATGGGATTATGATAACTAAAGTGAGATACGAAATGGAGTTCTATTTTTTCAATATTTCTTGCAAAAACTGCATCAATGGTAGTTCCCCCTTTGGTTGTTGAATCATTCCTACCATTTATCATTTCCAATCCAAATTTGTCTTTAAGGAAGGTTAATAATGTTTCAGCTTCAGGTAACGAGAAATTCACATTAAAATCTCCTGCAAGGATCACAGGCCGCTCGTTGCCATGGTAGCGTTAAACGTTTAACGCAAACTTGTTGGAAGTCGCATTAGAAGTTTCACTTCAATAAATACTTTTATATTCGAATAAATAAAAAATATACGAGAAAAAAATTTAATCAAAGGGCCCCAAAAATTTGAATGGCCTAAGGCCCCGCGTACGATTAATTCGGCTCTGGATTCATTACAATAATACAGATTTTAATATTACGTGAACACCAATAATACCCTATTTCCTTACATTAATACACTTTTTAATATTAAATATACACCTGTAATATTAAATATACACCCTATTTCATTAAAATACAATTTTTAATACATGAACACCAATAGTACTGTATTTTATTACAATATAATTTTTTATGTTACATAAGCAGCAGTAGTACCTGCTTCATTACATTAACATAATTTTCACTCATTGTCACAATTTAATTACTTCAGAATGATTTTTAGTTAATTCATTGTTTGTTAATTAAAATAGTATTTCTTTCATATTTTTCTTAATATCGAGTATTAATAGTGCTATAAACTTACATCTAATGTGACATTTAAATTCAAAGTGTTTTAATATAATTCTTAAAAAAATAGTTAAAATTCAGACTTTCTTTAGGGACAACGGTAAAACACCAATACATTATGCTTTATTTTATTTTTTATTATTTATTCATTATTTTTTAATGGTTTCTTTAATTTCCATATGATGTAGTCTAACTGCAGATGAAAAAGTTAAACAAATTTGTGTAGTTTGTTTTGTGTGCAAGAATGTTTACTATAACCACTTAAATTTATTTAAATACCTATAAACAACGTATTTGGGTAAAAATTGAAATTTGTCCGCATTAACAATTAAAGATCATACTTACAGCGACAACTTTAAAACTAATTATTATTATTGTTAAAACATTGCACTCAGATTTCTATTAATGTCGCCAATATTCTATTAAAATTTGAAAATGATTGACTGAAAATTACACTTTTATGTCTTTTTGTTTCGAACAGTGTCTCCTTAAGTAACAAGCATCTTAAAATAAAATTTAATCCCCCTCCTAATCTACTTACTTTAACGCTATGTCAGGATGATCCATTTGTAAACACATTTGAAATGGACTAGAGCTGAACACTAGGTCAGTGTTGAAATTAACAATAGATTGACCAGAGAATTGAAAAGCTCCTTGAAGTGACGACAATCCTGAATCAACTGTCACTGATCCACGCATTAATAAAGCAGCACTGAAAATTAAAAATAAACCATTGTTATGTTATACTTTTGTTCCAAGTTGTAGTTGCATTGCATTATATTCAAAAATTGCATTTTATTTTTTAAATGAATTAAAATAGACAATGTATTCTATCTGAAATGTCCTAAGATTTGCCATACAATAAATTATAGTTCGTCTAAAGTAAGAACTCCCCTAGCCATTCATCTGGACAAGTGGTGGTGACTATGGTAACGAGGTATAACTATTTCAAGTAGGGGCATGGGGTCATAGTTTATCACAATTTTTTGCTTGGGTCCGCGAGAAAAAGGAAATCTTTTTCTTCTGTCTATTGTGTTAGCCCTAGAGTGAAGAGAAGCTACCCTCCCTGAAATGCGATATTCTTGTTTACATAGCAGCAGACAGCCTCAGACTTTGTGGTGGGGTGTTCTTACCGTAGACAAACTATACTGTTTGATTTTTCTTTCATGATCAGCAAATTAAGAATTTCAAAATTTTGTATGATTAAGAAAATTAAAATTGGGCATAAATGCTTTGGAAATGTAATTGCTTCATTTTCGTCCTTATAATTGTATACAAAAACGTTTAAAACAACGTATCGAAAAAGTAAGAAATATAGAGTTGAAGAAAGGAATATTGATTTGAATTCTTAATCAACTCATTGTGTAGAAACAGTTACGAATACCTTAATAAACGTTAATATAGCCAGTAAATTAAACAACAAACAAATATATTTTATGTAAATAGCTAGAAAATACATACTGAGTATTGTAACTCACCAATTTTTAATTTGTGACAGTATAGTTTATTTTTTCAACTTGCACTAATGCTCTCAATTCGTTAAATTATTTAAAAAATTAAATGCTTATATCTTTCATAATTTTTGTTAACTTTTTCTCCAAGAGTGCTATAAATGCTGCCAAAAAATACTTAAAATATCTGAAATGACTATAATATCACATTTATGACTTACGCGTTCGCAACTTGAGATTGAGAATTCTGACTCCACAACGAAATTTGCACAGATGCCGATNTATAATCTCAATTTTTATTATCAGTTAGAATATGTAATTCACATGCTGTTGTATGGAAATCTTAGCATTATTGCTTTACAAGTTTTTAATATAACTTTTAATTTAATAATAATCTTGAACTGAAAAGTTTTGTAATTTGTGAAAATTGACCTCTTTGAACTAAAAGTTTATGAAGTAACGGCAAAGGACAGAACCCCTAACGATCCTCAAGGAACCCTTGAAGGACTTGATCTCTACATTAATTGTTTCTTTTTAAATGATTTAACTGCATAAGTTTATATTTTCTTTTTGCGTTTTAAAGGTGTAATGAATCTCAAAAATAACACAGTAAAGTAGAATTTTTTTTACAATAAATGTACAATTTTTTTAACTTCTCTTCTTGGAGTAAAATAAACTAAAAAAAGCTTTTCTCAATAAAAAGTTTTTTTTAAAAAAAGTTTAATTGAAAAATATATATTTAAGTGCCGATCGGCCTGTGAAGGGGTTAGGGAACTGCCCTTGCATCAGAAAGGTTCTGGGTTCGAATCCCGGGCAAGGCATGGATGTTCTTTCCTTCTCTGTACTGTCTGTCCTTACTGTGGGAGCAACGTTGGCCCACCTAATATGGTGCCCCTGAAAGAGGCCAACAAAATGGCCCTGTAAATGCCTGAATTGACGAAAAATGTTAACACATGTGGGCATTGGAAGAAAAAATAATATTTTTTAAGCAATATCTATATGATTTTGATGAAATGTCGTAGAAATGGGGGGCCATTTATATAAATATATAATAATCAGCCCATGATCTAGCCTTACATTCAAAACGAAATTTTAAACTTCAAAACCACAAAACTTCTTTAATTGTTAAAAGTATTTTATATGCAAATTGAAATCTAAAACTTTTTTTCCCTCAGAAGTATATCAGATGAAAAAAATTAATATTCGTTATATACAAATACATAAAGCATAACACAATTTTAAAAATTTATCATTTCACTATTGAACAATGAATTCTGGTTCGTATATTGTCCGAGAAGAGCTAAGGACGAAAAAATTATTTGGTTGTTTTCATTGAAAAAGTTTACTACGAAGGCTATTATTCTTGATAATCCCTTTTGAGGAATTGAATTTTAAATTACAAGGTGCTGTTCTCAATCTTATTTATTATTGTTTTAAAATGAATTTACATTGTATTTTTATTTATGTTAAACTATTAGCAGGATGTTCTGTAATAACTGGATTTTAAATTACAAGTTGCTGTTCTCGATCTTATTTATTATTGTTTTAAAATGAATTTACATTGTATTTTTATTCATGTTAAACTATAAGCAGAGTGTTCTGTAATAACTGCCCTTAACACATATTTTTAGAATCCTCAACGAAAATGAAATGGAAAGCTATGCATGTCAGAATCCGCAAATTTATATTTTAGTGAGGAAATAATTCCTATCTAAAACCAAACACTATTGAGCACAATAAGGGCAAAGAGAAAGCCGCAAAGGCTCAGTAAAGGCACTGCAAGAATTGGGTTCTATCCTTATTAAAGGTTTATCCATTAAGTTCACGCTGACGAATATCAACTTGTCTGAGAAATTAAGATGGCAGATGTACATTATTGCCACCATCAGTCCATTAGTTTAAACAGTGTGGAGTTTCAACGTTTATGATCAGCTTCAACGTTATGGACCGCCAAGCCGACAAACTAGTTATTGCTGTAGTATATATTTTTTAACAGCAAAGAATTGAATCGTTAATCCGATTTATTTCTGGTTGAAGCTTAAAATAAATTTGTAGTGAAAAGCAAATATGATCCAGTACCAATGGGGCAAGGGGGCTTCTTGGCTTTAATAATGAGTGGTCATAGTTAAGAAGAGAAAAAAAATAAAGTTCTGAGACTCTAAATGTCCATAGTTTGTTTTATTTCTTTTTTTTTTTTTCAAAAGTTCCGATCTCACAGTGAAGTGATCATAAGACACGTTCCCAGTAGATTGCCAAAATCAAGTACTACTTGCAGCGGTCAGTAAGCCGGTGGGTGACCACATTAATCAGCCTACAAAGGGGTGCGTGCTACCGGTCCTTGTTAAAATGTTTATGCGTAAAATGCTCGACTTCATGCACAGGTCATCGAGATACTAAAAAAACGGGCGAGACATCCTCTCTACAGAAGATCAAAATTCTGATGGTATGTCTTCAGATCATCCTCAGGGAGGTTTCTCAGACCGTCACCAATATTCCATTGTGTAGTTCTAGAGCGACGTTAATTAAGTAGTAGTACTGCTAACATTAGAAGAAAACTCTAAAAGTATGTATTACGTGTGTTCATTGCAAAATTTCTCTGTATTCATTTTTAAAATACACTCTCTTTTTACAAACTAATCTCATTCTAATTATATAAAATCAAAGTAATTTTATGAAACCTGTAATGCCGGCGTAGGTGTGCTCGCGGTACCCGACCAAGCATGTCCCATCAGTTCTGATGTACCTGTAAAAAATATGTAAGGCCTAAGGGAGGATCCAAGAAGCGTTAGTTCCATTCCAGCGTGTAAAGTAGCTCCCTCTTCCTCTTCTCCACCAGCCAGAGATGCTAAACCTTCTCCAAACATCCCTACCTGTAAAATACAATTGAGAAAATGTTTACCATCAATTGATGTAGTTTTTCCTACTTAATTCAATGAATTTTCCCTACATGTTTAACAATGATATGGGAAAAGAATATTCAGAAATTTAATTTAAGGCCGTCTTTGAAACTTTGTTTCATTAATATGAATGCTGTCTGATTTCCTTGTTAATGTCATTAGTTCCTAAACATCTCCATAGAGCTTGGAAATTCATCTTAGGCTGATTTGCCCCCTTCAGCTACTGTTTTTTTTTCTGTTTTTTTATTCTTATTCACTCTTGGCTACTGGAATTTTCTAATCTTGTTTCTCACCTTTATTTGTCGTTGGCAGCTTTACAATTCACATATTAAATTACTTTGTTTCTTCTCACTCACTTCTGGTAAGTCTTTAAAAATTGGCGCCAATTTTTGAGCTCTTGAAATACGTCGACTGTTGTTTCCAAGCTGTTTATTTTTGAAGCGAATAAGGTTTTTCACTCATTCTTTTGCTTTAATAATTAAACAGAATATTTAACTTTTGATAAAAAACTTTTGACTTTTATTTAAAAACTTTTAAAACAGTGTTGAAGTGCTGTTTAATAAAATTTCACGATCAACTATCATGACTTCTTTTATATCTGTATTTCTGGTTTAAATTATGTTTTAAATTATTTTTAAAATACTTTATTATTCAATTTAGGAAATTATAAGCAACAATTTTAAAGTTCTTGATGAATTTCTTAAAATGAAATAAATTCATTGGCGATTTTTAAAATATTTAAAAGAGGAACTTTCGAATTTTAAATTAAAAAGGATAAATTATAAAGGATTTTAAAACTCTTTTGATATTACTTTTAAAACTAAATTTATAATTAACTGTGAGTAATATTATTCATGTACTAGTTAGAAAAAAAATGTTTTTTTTCATTAATCTTACTATAGTTTTACACAATATTAAATAATGAGTAACAATAATTAAAAATATTGCTGTAAATTGGTTTAATGAACAACAGTAAATTTGAACAAAATCACGAATGAAATAAGAAAAAACGCATTCTCTTTTTTGTCATGGTCTACCAGTATTATAATCTGCTACAAATCTGTCACTTCGGAAAGTTAATCTTAAACGTTTTCATGCACTGAGGGGAAACATAAATCGACTATGTCAACCTTCCTCTATCAAAAGGTACCTCGTGATAGAATCGTGAAGTTAACATGTCTTATATAATAGTGATTTGGTATTTAATATTTATAGTGGTAGTTACATCACAGCACCTTACCTGTTGAAAAATTAGACATTCTTAGTGGTTTGAAATTAGTGTAAACCTGTAACGTTTGAATATTAAAAAGTTAAGCACTATGATTAGTCACTTTAAGCTGTCGGAAATTTGTTTCGACTTAAAATATTTAACTTACTAACAAAATATCAGACATTTTGAGGTCTGCAAAATATGTATGACCGTTTAACTTTTGTTTTTTGCTAAAATATTAGACAAGTCTGGTTCTTCAAAACTTACAGTTAAAAGATTAGACACCTCAGGTGCTTCGAAGTTAACATTAAACACACTTCGTTTTAAAAGATTGCCTTCTAACATTTCCATCTGTATGCCATAAGATATGTTCATATCTCCAGAATCTGCAACAAAAAATTTCTCAAATCATTCAAAAATATTTCTCAATCCCCACCATCAAAAAGTAAAAACATGCTTTTTAAACTAACTTATTATTCTTAGTAAAGAATTTGAAAGCTAAGTATTTTCATATTTGTTATAAGAAATCAATATATTAGGATATAATACAAAAAAATTCGATTTTTTTTTTCAAATCAGCATTAAAAGCATTAAGTTTTTTCAACCAAACTTATTAATATAAATAACAAGAAAACATTCAAAAAATTAATTACATTTATAACTACACTGTTACGTACCATTATATTATTTTACAGAAACATTAAAATTGAAATATAATTATTGGTGAAAAACTAAACTTCCAGATTAAAAAATCTTTCTGAAGTCCCAGCATCAAAATGTAAAAACATGCTTTTTAACCTAACTTATTATTCTTAATAACGAATTTAGCAATTAAAAACTTTTATATTCTTTATACGAAATGAATAAATAAGGATATAATTGTTGACTTGAAAAATAAAGTTACTAACCAGAAATTTTCTGCTATAAAAAATTTCAAGTGTCAAAAAATATATTTCTTCAGATCAGCATTAAAAGCATTAAGTTTTAACAAAGCTTATTAATTTTAATAATAACAAGATAGCATTCAAAAAATTTATTACATTTATAACTGCATTGTTACTTACTATTATATTAATTTACAAAATCAGTAAATTTCAAAATTGGAAAAAAATCTATGAAACTTACGAATCATAGATTTTTCTACTACAAAAAATTTTAAATATTAAAAAGTATTTCTGAAGCCCAGCATCAAAAGTAAAAACGCATTTTATAACCAAACTTATTAATATGAATTACAAACAGGATTTAAAAAAAATAAAAAAATAATAATAACTACATTGTTACGTACTCTAATGTTCCTTATATGAAATCAATAAATAAAAAGACATAATTTTTAGTGGGTAAAAAATGAACTTACTAATCAGAGGTTTCTTAAAAAGTGAAGACGAGCCTTTTTGCGAAGTGGAGTAATAGAAGGATATGTACTTTTCAGGTAATAACTTGAAAATTCTGGACCTAATTAAAAATAATGAGATACATAAGTGGAAATTCTCCTAAAATAATTAAAGAAGGCTCTCATGAATCAAAAAATTAAAGTAAATTTTTTATTTTTCAAAAATAATATCGCAGGAAGTAGAAGCTAATTATGGATCGTACAGTTATCTCAGATTAGCTTTATTATTAATAATTAAAATATAGGATCATTAAACGGTTTAAATTTTTGATATACATCGCATGAAAAACTAATTTCTTAGATATTTCTTTGAAAGTTTATTTTTGATCAAAAATATACTAATAAATTCGCATTTACAACACAAAAGAGAACATAAATGTATTTTAAGTAATTATATTACCGTTAATAATAAACATAAAATAGAAATTAAGATTTTTCTTGAGCATATTCTATTATTAAAATTATAAATAATAAGTAATATAAGTAAATAGTTAATTTCTCCTAAACTGATAATTTCTCCTAAACTCTTATTTATTATGTCTAATTAGTTTTGAGGGGAGATTATATAACTAACATAAATAAACTACTTAATATTCAAGAAAAATTTATTAAATTTCTACTGAATAAAAATGAACGAATTAACTCTAACCATGACTAGTTGCTGAATTTATTACCAAATCCGTCATTCAGTTTTTTAAAAACTATGTCTATATCTATCCAAAACCGAAACACTTGACTAAAAAAGACACGATTAGCCAGATTTCACACCCAAGCTTAACATATATATTTTTCCTCAAAATTTTCAGTATTTATCGCCAAAATGACAGGAATGAAGCAATTTTTCAGCCAGTTTTCTCACTTTTACGGGTAAGCTATGCCCTGCCTAAAATATTAAATAATTATAGATTTAGTACTTTTTGCAAAATTTTCATAGCATCCCAAATTTTTCGACTTTTTTAAATGAAGAAGATGTAATTTATTCTTCAGATATAATTTATTTTCATTAATTTCCAGTCAATTTCACGAAATTCGGCATAATTTTCTATCTTACTTTTGAAAAACTTAAAACGTTTATATTCCTAAACGTTTGACTACAAAACTCTGAAACCGTTAAAAAAAACTCTGGTAAAAATAGAAAATATGATATTTATTTCCAGCCATTTAGTCTAATTCAGAATTAAACATTGCTGCAAGATGTTTTAGAATGTGTTGAACCATATTATCATTCAAATTTTTTACAATCCTAATATGATTCTAATTTGATCCATACTACATAACCACACTTCTTAAACTTCGCTACACGATTCTGGAGTACAACCCAAACTGAAACTCAGTTCATTTAAACACCTTATTAAGATTGTAGAAAACTTGCACCATATCATAGTTCAAGATAATTCTACTAATATTCAACTATATTATTGCTGAACCAATTTTTCTGAAAGTGTACAAGGGCCGGTGAATACAAAATGTAAATTTACTTGAATTCGTTGTCTTCATCAGCTTTTTTGAAGATCTTAGCAGCAAGAAATGTTGCAAATTCTGGATCACTTTGATCAGATAGTGCGCTTAGTATTCCTTTCAGAACTTCTGTTTTAGGCTTAAGATCGAACAGAATTTCAGCTGCGATCGATCGCGTCGAACGATCTTGCTTATTTCCTACTTGAAGAAATACGTTTAGAAGCTTTTTTTCTGATTCAGATGATTTCAAATGAATCTATAAAAAAAAATTCGATTTAGAACAATAAAACCACAAAAGCATTGCAAAGATAAATATTCTTTATCGTCACAAGCAATTGATATTAACATTAACTTAATATAAGCAACAAATTTTTTTTAAGAAAATTAATTGCCAAAATATCATTAATAAGTCAATTGCCAATTTATATACAATTTATTTTAATTTAGATTGATTATTTCTGTTTTTGCTCTGTTAGGAATTTTGCATAATGCTCCATAATATTTAATATTTTGAAACTATACTATATTACTAAACTGAACCAATTCAAGTTTCAAGAGTAACACATTTTTAAGGTTGTAAATTTGATTAGGTTCAAGATAAGGAAGAGTCAAGACTACCAACTACTGTTTTTTGCAAAATATTTCATAGCACGGATGACATTTAAAAATTGCAGCTTTCAGAATGTTTTTTAATTTTGTTGACATTTTAAAAAACGAAATGAGTTCTATGAAATGCTTGAAATATAGTGAAAATATTTATTGAAAATGCTTTAAATTTGAACCGCTTATAATTTTAAATGAAAAAACATGTGGTTCTTCTATCTTGTCACTATTCTCATTTTTTTAATTCACCAAATCTATTTTCTCCAAAATGTGCCTGGAATCGTAATGGCTCAGGGGACAGAGCTCTCCTCCCAATGAGGTGAACCAGGTTCAAATCCCAACAATGGCTGGTTGATGCGAATTCCATACCCGGCTCACACTGACTACAGTGCTGATATAAAATGTCCTCAGGGGTAGACGGATCGTGGGTTAGAATCCCCTTGCCGTTTGGCCAACAATGGGAAGCTTTCGTGGTTTTCCTCTCCATGTAACGCAAATACGGGTAATTTCCATCAAAAAGTCCTCCATGAAGACAAATATCTCCCTACACTTAATCCTGGAGTTCTCTTGTTTTCTGGATTGAGTTCAAACGTTGAGTTGAACTTTGGTAGCCATAAACCCAAAATTGAGTCGGCTGTTCAACTAGAGTTATAAAAAAAATGTGCCTTAAAAGAAGCAACCAACCGGAATATTCTTGGTTATCTAAATGACCGGTTCTGGTCTATTTTAATATTTAAATATGAAAAAAAACACTTCTTGATTCAGTGATCATTATTGAGGAGATAAAATAATTTCAATCATCTTGTGCATATTTACTTCAAACATGGTTGGTCAAAGTGTACAGGTGTTCATTTATTTATTTTCATTTTACCAATAATGTGTGTCTCATAACGTGCATCTTTTAACAAAGTTTTTAAAAACAAATAACTATAGTCATTCAGGAAACCTTGTATATAATACTAGGTTTGAAGCAAACAAGCTATTATTTATTAAGTGAAGAATTCAGCAAGAATTCTCACCTGTTCAGGATCATTAATGCTCCTAATTGTTAAGACAGCTTCTAATGCAGGTTTTCCTCCCTTCTGCGCGTAATCTAACAATAACGGAATAGATCGAACAAAACCTGCATTTCTGAGTCCTCTGAGAGCAGTTATGATGCAACTTTGGTCCTTGCATTCACCCAAATTCTTCTCCAGATAAGTTCTATAGTCTTCCAAAACCTGCAATTTTAAAAATAAAACATTAATCAATATTTTCGGGAGAACACAGATCTTTCCTTATCAACTTAAGTCGTAACCTAAAAACTAGATTTTCCAAAAATGATCCACGAGTTGAAAAATAAATAAAGGAAACACAGAAGATAAAAAAAATACTTTATTTTCTGCGTTTTGTTTAGAAAGCCAGAGATTTATTCTCACTAAAATGTTTTATGCTGAATGTCAGATTATTCCAACTGAGATATTTGCTCAGGTGTCGCTTCAGTTCGTGGTTATTTTGAATCATTTGTTTTATAACTATTCTCAGTTAGTAGCGCCTTCTGTTGATGAATTTTGTCACTAATTTTGAACTTTGGTTTAGAGTAACTCATTTTATGCTCTAGCGGTGTGAACCATTTATTTCTGTCGCCTGACTTATTTCTTTAAATGATTTTTCAAACCACCATTTATATTTGGGACAACCGCTGTGACAATAAAAATTAATATGAAAAGCATAAAATTTATATATTATATCAAGGGACAAATTTTTGGTTGCACTTATACAAATACTTGATCTTGTCTAAATCGGGTATGGAGATTTCAAATCTGAAATTACTTTTGTTCCAAAAGCTACGGATGTTTTTTCAAAATGAGATTTTTTTCCGTCTATTTCTTGTAGAAATTTACAGGTTTAAAAACGTTATATTTAGAAAGGAGTCATGCAATTGCTGCGACAAACTTCTATAGGAGTTATGGCATATCATCAGGATTAAAATTGCATGGGAACCCAGGCCGGAAAATGTCGTCATACGCAACTCAGGTCGTTTTCTTATTATGATCTGTTCAAAAGCACATGAAGAAACAGTTCATAATTGAGGAGAGCCCTTAGCGGTGTATGACGACGTTTCCGTTTCGGGTTTCTATGCAATTTTAATTCCGACAAGGTGTCCTAACCCCTCTAAAAGTTCATCGCGACATTATTCGTCCCCCCTGTTATATATTAGCGCTATTGCTTGTACATTTCGGCAAAAACAGACAAAGAATATCACTTTAAAAAAATTAACTTTGAGATCGAAACCAATTGTAGATTTGAAATCAGTGATACAAAAACATTTAAGATCTGTTAAAAAATCTCATGCAGCAGAAAACAAAAATAATTATTCCCTAGTGTTATTTATATAACAGTTGCAGTTATTTGAATTGGTGTGGTTTGGCTAAAATAGAATGCATGACGTTACATTCAATAAATTAATGCAATGCTATCAACAAATGCAATATACCTGATTATTTGCTATGTCATAACGCATCCCATATGTCTTCAAAACTGCTCCTAATGTTGTAATTAACGTGGCACGGATTTTTTCATCACGTTTTTTGCTCTCTAGGAAGTTCTGAAAAAATTTAAAATATTTTAGTTGTTTGAAATGGCAATGTAAAATTTTGAAAAAATTATATAATAATGTTGAAAAAAATGATAACTTAGGCATATTTAGTCACAATTAGGAGTGAATATAGTAGAAAAGTTTATAATCATTAGTTCACAATATCATTACATTTTTGTTTTTGTTTCAAATACTATCATATACTTTCTGTAGATAGTATGCTTTGAATTATACTATTTACAGACATATCTGTTTTAGCGAATTATGTTAACATTTTCCATTAGAAAAAATGTCGCAAGTAAAAAAAAAATTTAAAAAGCACAGACTCAGAAAATATATTAGAACCATAAATTCCAGAATTAAATTAGAAGTTCTTATTAGATCCAAAGTTTAGTTATGCATAGTTATATAATAAAAATTTTAATTAATTTAACCTGTACTCCACAACGTTAGGCTTATTAAAAGTCTTATAATACAGAGCTTAGTTTTCTAATTTACTGAAAGCTAGTTGAATCTTAAACTAACTTAATTAGTTTTAAAGTTTATATTTTACTAGCATAACTAGTTATTTCATGCTGTAATCATATAATGTACACATAAACATTCCAGATATATGAATATTTTAATAGCTCACTAAACATTAGTGAATTTAATAATTCCCCACTTCATTAAACTTTTATAAATTAAAAGAGTGACAAATATATATTATACACTAGATTAGTTCATAATATAATTTATGGGGATATAATTATTATACCTATACTCTATGTCAACCTTTTTTTTCTTTTTTTGGTTAATGGCGGGCACTTGGGTCTATTTCCCATTGACCACAGAAATGCCAGAACTGCTACTCTCTTCTCGTTACCCAGTGAGCACCTATGGCCAAGCCACGGCGGTTGAGCAGCGTCGCCCACGTCACACAACCACAAACCTGTTTATAGGGCGGGTCACATTCACGCAATCACACAGAAGAAAGGGTATAGAACAGAGAGAGAGAGAAAGAAACATCCATGCCCTGAGCGGGATTCGAACCTGCAACCATCGGCTCCGCAGTCAGGCACGCTAACCACTCGGCCACCTGGTCGGCATATGTCAACCTTGATCTATCAAAAGGTGCCTCTACATAGAATTAACATGTCTTATATACTATTGAATTGGTATTTAATAATCTTAGTGGTAGTAAAGCCACATTACTCTCCCACCAGAATTTTATCTGTGATAGATTTCGATGAACGAATATAAGTTTATTAAGGCTGTTTATTTTTTTTCTGATTTAGTTAATATTTTCGCTCTTAATTATTCGTTATTGGCCGGGAGAATTGTATTTACTTCAACGGATTTTATTGATTTATTTCATTTTTTTGAGCGCCATTTGGTCAACCTTCATTTTTTAAAAGGTACGTCTGGATAGAATCAAGTTAATATGCTTTATATACTAGGAAATTGGTATGTAATAATCTCAGTGTTCGTTACGCCACAATTAATTCACGATATACTACTAAATTCCAGATTCCACATCAACTGGATGATTTTAGCAAATTTTCAGAGGTAATGAGTGATTGTAGAAATCTGATTGTTTCAGACTTACCTTAATTTCTTCCATGATATACTCTTTTGGTCTTGGAATAATAGATAAACTGATCAAGAAACGTTCCAGCATTTCATCATAGTCCGTCACATCTTTATAGTATTCAAAAGTGGCCTTAACTGAATCTTCATTAGAACTAGCAGCAATAAGATCTAAAATTTGGCCTCTATATTCAAAAAGTACCACCATTTTAATTTTTTTTTAAATATTAAACAAGTATATCAACCTAAAAAATATATAATATTGTTTATTTCACACTTTTGGGTTTTAGACTAAATCTTATCGAGATATATCTAAGCATATATTAAAGAGTCATTTAATAAATTTTACTTAGACTAGATATTTATTGCTTTAGATAAATGCTCTAAAGTGTACCAATAAATGATATATCATCATCAGCATTGGCACGACAGCCGTTTGAGAGCCTGGGCCTTCCTCAGAAGCTTTTCCCATTCTGTCCTTCTCCCAGCAATTAATTTCCAGTTCTTTACTTTTAGGATGGCAAAATACTCATCCACACAATCTTTCCATCTCTTTTTGGACCTTCCTCTTGGTCTTTTATTGGAGGGGGCTATCATCACTATTAAAGATCTTAAGTATTTCAAAAATATATCTTTTTCTCCAGTTGTTGTTATCGAGGATAGCTCCAAAGGTGGTTCGTAGGACTTTCCTTTCGAAGGTTGCTAATAACTCCTCTTCCCTTTTTGTTCAAGAATAAATGATATACTTATATTATACATATTAATAAAGTAATAAATTTTCTCCCAGAATGCTATTTATTGGATATTTTTACCTCATTTTCAGACACATTTTGCGTAATCAGTTTCTATATATTTTGTGAACTATTTTTTATTTTTAGTGGTATTAATACTTATAGGATTAATAAAAAAAAGATTAACTAACAAATATTTCATATAATTTTAAAATTTGATAAACATTGACTGAAACAATCAGCAACAAAATACCATTATATAAAAAATATACCTTGCAACTTTAGCTAAGTCTAACTGAGAAAAATGGACGGAACACTAAATTTTGAACTAACGAAACAAAATAATGTAATTTCAAAAGGATTGCTCTTGAGCAAAAAAAAAAAAATATTTTCAAAATAGTAGACCATTCAAAATTTGCTAATGCACCGATTCTTTGTTCTATTGTTTCTCTTATTAAAATGCGATTCATAACTCTCGGATTCTTTTATTCACTACGATGCAGATTCCTGATTCACTGTCTTCCTTCCATCCTTTATTCACTCGCTATGTCAGGAATCATCCATTGAAACTGTTAGTGATACGTTATTCATTAAAATTATATAGTTCCCTTCACTTAAATCTATCTTTTTGCTCCAAACTAAAATAGCAGGTTTGTGAACCTTGAAAAATAAACTGACTTGTAAATTCGTAAGGTATGCAATTAGTTCAAATCGAAACCATATAAATTCAAAAAACATGAATTTTTTCAACCAATATCGCATTGCGATTAATAGCAATTGAGGATTAATACCAGGCAAGAATTTTATTTCATGAAATCTACTGTATAAAATTACGGTATAAAGTGCCGGCACTTTCCCCGCAAAATATTATACCGTAATTTTACAGTAATGTTTATTTAACTAGAGTTATTTAGTTATTTTACGGTAACTGTTACTGTAAAATTTATGATATATCAGATTTTTTGTGTATATATGATATACCGGATTCTACGGTAAAAAGTACTGGCACCCTGAGTGTCAATTTTTATAGTAATTTCATCCAGAATTTTTTACATTACAGTTCCTTGGAGATATTTTTTAAATGATTTGCATCAACAATTTGTAAACGAAGTTACCAGAATCATTAAGGAACGTTACTTACTGTATAGGTTTGAATTTCTTGTTTTGCAAAATTTTGATAATGTCATCCTTAGAAGCTGAACGGAAAGACGGTAATAGCTTGTAAAATGCTAAGGCCGATTTAAGCTTAGCTAAATTCGCTTGTTTGAGGCCTTCTTGGTACTTCTTTACGTTATCTGCAAGCTACAGAGACAAAGAAGTGATTATTTAACAACTTTNGCCCCCCTAGAACGGACTTGGCTTAATACTTTCTTGGCATAATATAGCTATTTTCTCTTGGCACTTACCTGATAAAGAGGTAGGGGAAAAACTTTTTGTCGAAGTCTACAAGACTCTTCATGGCCTTTTTTTCAAACTTAAGCAGTGACTGGACTCCGTTATGATTTCCAAACAAAAATAACAGCACAGTGGAGCAAAGAAAATGCTTCCAGAGCCGTGGTATGGAGCAGCAACAGGTTGTCACAGGAAATCAACCAGCCTTTTCACTGTGATTTTTCGGAGCAGAAATAATATCTGTGACATTTGAAACAACGAGAGTAGCTGCAAAATTTGTTACAGTGAAATTTCTCACTGTGAAAGTGCTAGATAAATTTATCACAGCGAAAATAGCAGTGAAATTTGTCACAGTGATTAGTAGAGTTTTTTTTCAGTGTTTCAACCATTTGGTTTGAAGTAGGTTGTCACAGTGACTAATAACTAAAGCCCGGAATTTCAGGCAATAAAAAATGCAAAAATAGGCAGGCAAAAAGGCATTTAAAAAGCTTGAAATAGGCACTTAAAAAAGGCACTTAAAAGTGGAGCAAAATGGTAGTTGGTAATGCCTAAAAGCCCATATAGGTATCCAAGGTATAAAAAAAGTTGCTAGAATTCATTTCACTCGACTGTCGTAGCAATAGTACAAAAGAAGTGGACATAATTGCACACAAAAAAACTTAACTGCGTAGGTGCGAAATAAAAATTGAAAACTCGTACTTACAATAATATTGTATGCAGATTTATTCTGATGATTGGTTGTTGTTGCACATCACAACTAGATGCTTTTTCAAATTTTCGAAAGAGAAATTTTGTCTCCTGTCAGTCAATATTGTTTTAAACAAAGAGAAGGATCTTTATACTTCGACAAAAGTTATGGGCGCGTACCTAAAACAACTTGCCATGGTAGATCGAATCACCAGAAAGTACTTTTGCTATGTCCTTGATGCATTCAAAGTCTGTATTTGCAGAGATGACGTTTTCACATTTCTTCCTTATTATGTCACCAGATGGTCCAGGCACAGACATTAGTTCTTCAATAGTATTGTCGAAAATCTTTAGTGACTCGGACAAAGGCATATTTCTTTTTTCCATGTGTTCAATAGCTCCAGGGAGCTTCCCGAAATAAGTTGAAATAAAAGTCAGTTCATTTTTAATTTTAGAACTGCTAAGCAGGTTTTTACTTTTTCTTATGGATATTGCCTCTTCATCCGAAAAGCTGGTAAGGACTCGAGTAACTTCCTCAAAATTTGTGCAGTAGTATGAGACTGCTGAAATCCATGTTCCCCATCTCGTAAGGATAGGTTTAGGAGGTAATTGAATGTCTGGTGCAATTTCTTTGAACTCTTGAAGGGGCTTTCACAAATANCTGATCAAGAAACGTTCCAGCATTTCATCATAGTCCGTCACATCTTTATTGTATTCAAAAGTGGCCTTAACTGAATCTTCATTAGAACTAGCAGCAATAAGATCTAAAATTTGGCCTCTATATTCAAAAAGTACCACCATTTTAAATTTTTTTAAATATTAAACAAGTATATCAACCTAAAAAATATATAATATTGTTTATTTCACACTTTTGGGTTTTAGACTGAATCTTATCGAGATATATCTAAACATATATTAAAGAGACATTTAATAAATTTTATTTAGACTAAATATTTATTGCTTTAGGTAAATGCTCTAAAGTGTACCAATAAATGATATATATTATACATATTAATAAAGGAATAAATTTTCACCCTGAATGCTATTTATTGGATATTTTCACCTCATTTTCAGACACATTTTGCTTTATGAGATTCTATGTATTTTTTTAACTAATTTTTATTTTTAGTGATATATAAGATTAATAATGACTTATAAGATTAATAAATAAAAGATTAACTAACAAATATTTTACATAATTTAAAAATTTGATAAACATCGACTTTTGTCGGAACTGAAACAATCAACAACAAAATACCATTAAATAAAAATATATGAAAAACATGCCTTGCAGCTTTAGCTAAGTCTAAATGAAAAAAATTGATGGAACACTAAATTATGAACTAACGAAACAAAATAATGTAATTTTGAAAGGATTGCTCTTGGGCAAAAAAAATTTGCAAAGTAGTAGAGCATACATAATTTGCTAATTCCCCGATTCTTCGATCTATTGTTTCTCTTATTTATTAAAACACCGATTCATAACTAACGGATTCTGTTATTCATTAAAATGCAGATTCCTGATTCACTCTCTTCCTTCCATCTTTTATTCACTCGCTATGTCAGGAATCATCCGTTGAAATTGTTTCCATAGTGATACGTTATTCATAAAAATTACATGATTCACTTCACTTAAATCTCTATCTTTTTGCTCCAAACGAAAATAACAGGTTTGTGAACCTTAAAAAATAAACTGACTTATAAAGGAGTAAGGTATGCAATTAGTTCAAATCGAAACCATGTAAATTCAAAAAACATTAATTTTTTCAACCAATATCGCATTGCGATTAATAGCAATTAAGGATTAATAACAGGCAAGAATTTTATTTCATGAAATCTACTGTATAAAATTACGGTATTAAGTGCCGGCACTTTTACGGCTCACCGTAAAATATTATACCGTAATTTTACAGTTATGTTTATTTAACTAGAGTTATTCAGTTATTTAACGGTAACTGTTACTATAAAATTTATGATTTATCATATTTTTCGTAAAAGGATTTTACGGTAAAAAGTTCTGGCACCCTGAGTGTCAATTTTTATCGCAATTTCATCAAGAACTTCTTACAGTGTAGTTCCTTGGAGATATTTTTTAAATGATTTGCATCAACAATTTGTAAACGAAGTTACCAGAATCATTAAGGAACGTTACTTACTGTATAGGTTTGAATTTCTTGTTTTGCAAAATTTTGATAATGTCATCCTTAGAAGCTGAACGGAAAGACGGTAATAGCTTGTAAAATGCTAAGGCCGATTTAAGCTTAGCTAAATTCGCTTGTTTGAGGCCTTCTTGGTACTTCTTTACGTTATCTGCAAGCTACAGAGACAAAGAAGTGATTATTTAACAACTTTTTACCTGAAGGTTTCATTTTATAAAAATTATTTTAAAATAGGAAATATTTTTTACTTACATTATTTTTGGAGTTTTGCTCTTGATTTGGAAGTAAAGCTTCAATAACATCTTCTACTAAATTACCTAAAACAATAATAAAATCATGCACTTTCATTCAAAGTTTACTTTAAACTCTTAAAATGACCTTATTAATAATTACTTCATTACACGTAATAATATGACAATATTGAGAATTATTTTTTTAAATTTCTTTCGTATGAGTGCTGTAGTTTTATTTACGTCGCACTTGAGCTGCACAATGGGCTATTGGCGACGGTCTGGGAAACCTCCCTAAGGATGATCCGAAGACATGCCATCACAATTTTGATCTTCTGCAGAGGGGATAACACCCCCGCTTCGGTAGCCCGAGGATCTGCGCGCGAAGTCGAGCACTTTACGGTAGAACAGTTTAACAAGGACCAATAATCGTATGAGTGAAAAGCCAAGATAAAGTCTTCAAATTAAGTTTCAAAAAGCCAAAAAAAAGCTAAAAATTCAAAGACAATAAAAAAAGTTAACACTTATAAGCCTTGAACATGTTAGTAGGCTAGTTATTGTAATAACTTTTTTTTTAAAAAAAATAGCTTTTCAAAAGTTTAAAATTGAAATAAGCTAATGGGAGTGATTGCCTGTCATATAGCACTTGTGAGGAGGGGTAGTTAAAAACTTATACAAGTGTATTTCAATGCTTATTTTCCTTCTTTTTTATAAAAAAATTCTGTTTAGCAGACTTTGTAATACGTCCCCTCTCCTTTAACAAGTTTTGTTTAAAAAAAAAAACAATTTGTAATCTTCACTCCTAGGCTAATATTGATAAGAAAGTGTTCGTAAATATTTAACCAAATAGCTTCGTTTACAAAAGTTTACGTGAAAAGATCAGAAATATTCTTGAAAACTTGTTTGACCTTAGTTTAAAAGTTTCAGTTCTGCTAATTTAGTTAGATAATTTTCTTTTTTTTACAAATACAGAATTAATAGGAAAATAGAAATTGTCTTGTAATAATTTAATTTTAGAAAAACAATTATAAATTTTGTTAATTTACTTATTGTAAATAAAACTCAAAGCGTTTTAAACCGTTACTTTGGTTGTATTACAGCAATCATGTGCTTAATTTATAGTATTTTTTTTCCTTTACATCCTAGTTTGACAGTAAAAAATAAAGCAAATTTTGCAACAGCTAGTGTGTAATGGAGGTTAAGGCTACAGAGTTTCTAGACCAACGACTTGATGATGGAAATGTAGGCAACATTGCGCACCTTCCTCATTTATTTCCCATGCAGGCTGGTATCCATCAATTTGAAACTAGAAGGCATTTATGCTATTGGGATGTAACTTCAATTCTTCACAATTATAACTCAGTGCTTTAAGCACGGTGATATAGCAGGCTCCATGCGAAGGTACATAATGTTTTCATAACATAGGGGAGAGTCGGGTAGCCCTGCCCACTCAAGGAGTATTGCTTATATTTCTGTATAATATTGAGTAATAATCAATATTTTTGTATGTTTCTATTGTTTTATCATCTAATTAAATAATGCAAAAAGAATAGTTTAACTTAAAAAAATAGAAATTTAAAAAAACGTGCTTTTTAGTTCTTTTCAAAATGTGCCCAGTCACAAAAATTATGTTTTTTGACTGTTTTTTCAGGTGTANCCTGCTCTTGGGCCTCCCCGTTTGAAGTACCATGTTACCAGCTGCATAAATACTTGAAACTTTGAAAATAATCTTTTTTTAATAATTTTTTTTAATATAACAATTAATGTCCGATGGTCCATTGACTTGAAAAAATATTCTATATATATGAAATTGACAGTTGGCGGGGTACCCGACACTCCCCTATATGAAATAGAATGTTGTTTAAAGCAACATTTACTACCATTAATAAAATATATTAGTCTGAATTGGCACACTCCTAATATAATCGTGCTACTTAAACATCTTATAGTATTTTAGGATGTGTTTTTTTATTAATCTTATTAATAAAATACTCATCAGTAAACAAGGTCACCAAACGCATTTTTATAGGATAAGATCCAACTCAAGCTGAATTGGTAAAAATACAGGTTAATTTCGTTTATCTTATACATTGTCAAGGACTAATGACATCGTGATAAGAAAATAACTGTGTTAACGTTGTTTATATTTCATAAAATTAATTCACTTTCACTTACAGATCTGGACACGAGATATTATAAATGATTAATTCAAAATTATAGTAAGATAAATATAAAACATGAAGGCAAAATTACTTGAAACAGATTTTTTAATTTCTTCTATGACATTCTCAATGTTTTGGTTTGAATAAACTGTAGCTTCTTTGCTTGTACCATCTAATGTCAATTGTGACCTGTAAGAAAAATATTTAAAACCTGAAAATAATGTAACTTAAAAACACCATACAATTATATAAGTATATTTTCTTCTAACCTTTATCAAATTTGTTGATAATAAAACAAATTATAGCAATCAATAATTAGGTTAAATAAATGTTTGGTTGAGAAAAAAACTGGCTTAGTATTTGTTCTCATTTCTTTTTGTGTATGTACTGATTTAAGTTTTGAGTAGTATAGAATGTAGAGCTTATTCTGTTTAATAGGGCTTAAATCTTCTTTTCTCGAATTATTTATTATTTTGAATTTTCTAATTTATTTTTTTTAATTTTTGTCAATTTTCTTTTTTTACCTTAACACTTATAATTTAGAAAAAAAAGACACTTTTTGGGGGCTTTAAAAAACTTTATTCAAATGCATTTTTTTTTCAAATTTTAAAAACTTAATATTTATAATCCTTTGTATTAAATATTATATTGTTCGAAAACTACGCCAATGATTTTATTGTAATTCTATTCTATAGTTTGATCTTGAAAAAGTAAATATTTCAATATGAGTTTTTAAATTTTCTTAATGGGAGAAAAAATATTTGATTTTGAAAAAAGGAAGGTTGTAATTTTTAATAAAAAAATGAATATTTAATAACTTTTATATTCAAGAATTTATTTAAGTAAAAAATTAATTTTATTTTGAATTCAAAAATAATGAAATTTCCCTTAAGCATTTCTTACAATTATACTTTTGAAAATTTATAAATTTATAATGGTTTATTTTTTTCTTTCAATTATTTCACAACGCTTTGAGATTTTCCATAAAGTAAAAGAACATAGAACACAAGCAAGTCAAGGTTTCATGCATATATATTTAATGGATTTCAAGATATATCAGTTTAAAGTTCCAAACAAACGTGACAAAATTAACACCAAGACAAAAAAAATCGTTCGAATATCAAGACGAGAAAATTTTATTTCGCGTTTTAAATAATATATAAACAGCTTTATTACTTCTTGAAAAAAAAGTACTTTTCGCTCATAATCGTTTCACATAGGTAATAAAAATTACAGAATTTTAGAACATATATCTGATCCTTTTAATTAACATCACTTTGTTTAACGCATGTGCCACCCATTGTAAAAGTGACGTATCTCCTTGTAAATAAATTTTAAAAAAACGAGCTTTTTTATGCTATTTTTTTGAGCAATTATTGGAGTTGTTTCATCTTTATAGTGAAATATAGGATTAAAAGTAATGCAATTAAGTAACAGAAAAACATATTTTAAAAATATTGAGTTTTTGCCACTTCAAAAATAAACGCAAGACACTATAGTAAACTTACCTAGCATTGACACATAAAGATGGTTTTCGCCACACATTGCTGATAGTTTTAACATATTCAACAGCAGAACACTTTGACAAAGTGTTGCTTTTATCATCCAAAAGCAAGCAATCGGTTGATAGCAGATGTTGCGTAGACATAGAACGTACCTAAATCCACAAGTGATAAACATAATTTTTTTTAAGGTTAGGCAGAAAAACTAAATTTAAAATACAAAAAATAATACAAGTTTTAAAAATAGCAAAAAATTAAAAATTTCAGTAACAGTTTAGTTGCATAAATGATAAAAAAATATAGCATTTAAACTTTGAAAAAAAAATTTTGTTAAAATATAAAAAACTAGCTGGATACCGGTCTTCATTCGGAATGAATAAAAATAAATATAAATAAATAAATAATTAATAAATCAGTACTGAGAAACACTATGAAATCATGTTAAAACCTGAAAAGCATAAACCGAAAAGCGTATACGGCATCAAAATTCTGGATTCATTGCTTCACGTTATAAATTCGCATTTTGAGCTATGTCTATTTCTGTAGACACTCTTTTTTAGCTATGTCCATTTTTGTAAACATGCATTTCGAGCTATGTAAATTTTCGTAAACACGCATTTTGAGCTATGTCCATTATCGTAAACACACCTTTCGAGCTATGTCTATTTTTATAGACACGCTTTTTAGCTATGTCCATTTTTATAGACACGCTTTTTACCTATGTCCATTTTTATAGACACGCTTTTTACCTATGTCCATTTTTGCAAACGCACACCGCTTATGTTCAAAATTTCCACAGCCATTTTAGGAAGGATCAAAAATAAACATAAATAATTACTTCATAACTAAGTTTTTGTCTCTATAAAAGTACAAAATTATTCAAAATAAATACTTAACGCGTAACAAACAATTCAACACTACTTTTATTACTTAAAAACAACCTAGCAAAATGAATCTAAATAAATACTTAAACGTATAACTAATTTGTCATTGCTTAAATTACTCATGATATCCTAACAAATTGAATAATAACTATAACGTTGCCAATAGATAGATATATACCCGAGTTTATAATGCCACATAAGAGAAATATATATATTTACAGATGATTGAAGTAAATATCAATGCTAAAAATAAACGTTCTTTTTGAATAAAGGATAACTGATAATTCATATTTTATTTACCATTTAATAAATAAATTTCATTTCTAATACATAAATATATATTAATCATGTATTTGAAAAGGAGATATTTCGAAATGTTATGTCTTTAACAAAGTAATCCGACACTATAAATATTTATAATGTCATTTAGATATTTACTATAGCATTTTCCCCAAATACCTGTAATGAGATATACATATTAAATCTATTGATCCCAAATTTGACATGTTTTAACAATTAAATGTCAATAATGCACGCTGTGCAAGTGATAAGTCAAATATAAGCTTTTGAATAAGCTGGGTGATATAATCCCCTAATCCGCGCATACAATGATTCAGTATGATATGAAACGATTACGATTCTTTGTATTTGTCATCATATGAACTGAGAGCATAATCTACCCACTGAATGATAATAAGTCTTATTCACATTTTGACACTAGGTACAATAGTGAACAGTATTCATCGAAATATTCACGGTACTTACATCTCTTCTGTTTGTAAATCGTAAAATTCCACTGATAGGAAACTCCTTATTCCATATCAAATTATCAAATACTGTTTATTCGTCACATGCCTGGGGTAAGCAGCAACCCTCTAGCACGGCATCGAGAGCTCTCAAATTTTCACAGCATCTGGTAACTGAGCATTTTATTCTGAGCATGAAAGTTAAAATAATGGACACAGACCAAAATGTATATTTAAGAAAATGGAATTAGCTCAAAAGGAGTATTTGAGTAAAGGATTTGGTACTGTCTTCCAAATTATTATTTTTTAAATAAACTACTGGATTCAAATGATTTTTATGTGATACCTATCTATTTGCCAAAATCAATTAGTAATTTTTTTTTTAATTATTTATTTTTAAAGGACTTCGTAAGTTAACAGTTGTTTTTACAAAGTTGTCACAAGGGTCTCATAAGTTCTTAATGGTGTTATTTAATTTACGTTGTATTAATTTAGATTTTTAAAAACCTATTTATTGCTTGATATTCTGAATGCGAAGGGATAGTCTGAAAAGTTACATCTCTATTATAAACGGTCATCCAGACCACGAAGTTTCAGACTTTGTCCCGTAATGCCCTTAGTGTTGAGAAAAAGTAAATACGAAATTCACTGATAGTTGTTAAATTTGGATTAAAATCTGAAAAGACGCATTTCTCACTCTTTCCATATTCTTAAACCTGCATTTTGGGCAGCGTCATTCAACTCGCATTTTGAGCAGCGCCATCCAACTCGCAGTTTGAGCAGCGCCATCCAACTCGCAGTTTGAGCAGCGCCATCCAGCTCGCATTTTGAGCAGCGTCATCCCACTCGCATTTTGAGCAGTTTCCAGAATAAAAATCTCAACGACAATTTGCAGTTTATTTTACAGCTCAGATTTTAAATATTAAAAAAAAATTTGTGGAATAAACTGAAATTGAATTAAAATTAAATTTGAAGTAAAAAGAAGGGCCTACTCTTAAATTTTAAAAAAAGGTATAATTTCCCTCTTTTTAAATCTGATATCAAAAAAGACACATCTTCGTCTTGCATGGTATACTCATGGTTGTTCCACTTTTCAAAGAATCACCCAATCTACTTTATGAAAACAAATTGATTTAATTTTTTCCCAATTCCTTAATCAAAATAAAATAATTGACTATTATTAAAAAAAATCAAACTTACGCCATAGGGTTGTGTTAGAGATTTGTCAAACTTGGAATGGAAGCAGTTAGATTTCCTTTTTCGTATATTATTTTTATTAACCTCATAAAGAACATCACAACTGCCAGAAACGTCAACCTAAATATAAAAATATGTATATTTAAATTTTAATAGATGTGTGGCACAAAAAATCTAAGCCTAAAATAAAATATATCTTCTAAGTTTTAACGTTAGATAGACATGAATTTATTTTATTAGAATAATTGATTATACATATATTATTAGGTAAGACCTAATTGAACTTTTTTTTATTAGACTTATTGGGTTTATCTTAAACTTTTATTATTATACAAGTTAGAACTAATTGAACTTTTAAAAACCGGGGTAGGCATAATTAAATTTTAATAACTAGGTTAGGCTTTAAACTTTGATTATTAAGTTTTGTCACGACTGAAACTTCAGGAGTAGGTCAAGTTCATATATAAGTAAACGCTTATGTTATCTTCTGTTTCTCATTATTGAAAAAATAGTTATAAATATACTTATTAATATTTTTTTTTTAAATATGCCAATTAATAGTTATGTGACATTTTATACGGAACTATCAGGATAATATTCTAAAATTAAGTGCTAAAAATATTAAGGTAAATGTGAATTGCATTAAAATAAACAAAAATTGCCATGCTTTGGCTGCTTACTACGTAAATATATTATCACCTTCTACTGGGACCCAGTAACGCCAGACTTTTTAAACTTGTTATAATGTAAAAAGTGCTATTTAAAAAAGTGGTTGCACATTAATGCTTAAATAAAGTAGACAAGTTATAAGGTTAACTATCACTTATGTTTTGAAAAAAATGGTTAAAGACTCCATAGTTAAAGACTTAAATTAAAAGCTTTATATTACTACTGTATCATTATAAAAGGAATATTTTGTATCTCTTATAAATAAGCTAAGTAATTGAATGAATAGAGTGCTAGCGTTTTTTTTTTCCTTTTAAAAAAAGAGAACAAACATCAAATAAGGACGTAGGGCATTGACGAATTGAATAAACAGCTGTTATAAAAGTGTTTTTACGTTTCCTTTAAGTATATTTTTGCATTGGAATTTTATATGCACATTAATTTATGTTTTGCAGAGCTCTTAAAATCGATGTTTCGAATGTCTGTATAGTTGGTCTTCTCAGACCAACAATATGATGGTGGCAATGTGATCAACACTGCGCGCCCACCACTTTTCTATTAACACGTGTGAGGCTACAAGACACCACTCGTGTTTGAGCCCCAGTACTTAACAATGATAGCTCAGAGCCTTATTCACTGAGCCATTATATCGAAGCATTGGGTTTGGATGATGATAATTAGAAATACTTAACTATAATGATACTTAAACTTAAAAATATTTTTTAAAGTCATAGTCTACAAAAAATATATATCAGCGTATGTAAATAATTAACTTAATCACAATGTTTTTACAATTTCAATAGAATAACAAACTAAATTTTTTTAAGAATTCAATGTTTTATTTAAAATACCTCTTTTTCTTTCTTTCGAATTTCCAATAAACTTGCAATTCCTCTTTTAAGGTTTCTAAGTAAGAGAGTTTCAGCTGAATCATCCCAAATTTTATTGACGGATCCTTTTTCTCGTAGAATAAAAGACGGTTTTGAGGTGATTTTATCCAATTCTGATTGGTATTCTACAAATGATGATTTTTTAGGAGCCCATAACTTTGAATTCAAAACCTGCAAGGAAAACAAAATGTTATCAGCTATAAAAAATATTGTAGATGAATCCTTACAGCAAATATTTATGTAATATCATACATAGTGAACAAAAATTAATGTCTAATCAGATTTAATCTACCTGTATAAAGCCAGATATTTTTTTTTATATTTTCATAAACTATCCAGCTTGAGCCGCAGTAGCTCAGAGAATAGAGTATTCACCTACCAAAGATGTACACAGGTTTAAATCTCAGCTGTGGCTGATTGATAAGAATTCAAATCCCGGCTAGCACCAACCACAGTGCTGACATATAATATCCTCAATGGTAGACGCATCATTGCCGTCAGACTTACCGTGGGATATTTTCGTGATTTTCCTCTCCATGTAACGCAAATGTGGCTTAATTCTATCAAAAAGTCTTCCACGGAGGGAAATTTCTCCAAACTGGATTCAAGAGGTTCCCTTGTCTTCTGGGTCGGGTTTAAAATTTCAAGGCTGTGGAATCGAACATAGATAGTTGTAAATTCTGTTTTAGGATTCCTGTTCTACGCCAGTTATAAAATAAAATTAAACTAACCTGCTTTTTAAACACAGTGGAATGCGAATGAAAGTTTCAATCTATAATTCTTCTAAAACACACTAAATAACATAATATGTAAAGCAATCTATAAACTTATTTAATAATCTTGGCTATTTGTTAAGATAAATATACAGAGAATCCTGTAATAATTACCTTTTATATATGTTTTTAGAATCCCTGTAAAGGAAGTTTTTAAAAAAAAACTATACTTGTTGGAAATTATAGTTAAATGAGTAAAACTGAAAATATTTTTTTAACTATAATCACTTATTCTTACGATCAATAAGGGGAAAAGATATAAATAATAAAAACCAGAAACCAGTTTATTTGAGGATGAAGCACGAATTAAATAGTCTTACTATACAGACAAGTTAGTTTTTGACGATTTCAACCCATCTGTTGCTGTTCCCTACCTCACTGAGGATTGATGATCAATATGGACAAGTTTTTAATTTGAATATTAAAATAAGACCTCCAATCTGTATAATATTTTACTATATATGTATAATATAAGACCTCTAATATGCATAATATTGTTATGGGGATTCTAAAGATTTATAGTAAGGTGTTCATTAGTGTTTATTAACACCTATAGACTTCACAAAAACTAATAAAGTAAATAATCGTATATGAATATAAGCAAGCAATCTAAATATATTTAAGACTAATATTTCAACCAAATTTTTAATAAATAGCTTGTAAGTTGTTGTTTTTTGTTGTTTTAATATTTTTTTTAAGTATTACTTTTTATTTCTTTAAAATTGAACTCAAAACAAATTTAAAAAATTCAACCCCGTAGTTTTTTTTCTTCATTCCAAAAAATAAAATAAGTACTTAAAACTCAAACCATTAAATTGAATTAACAAATAAGTTACAAGCAAAATAGTATCATTACAATTTTAAACAATTTCCATGAACAGCAAAAATTTAATAAAATTAATTTAAAAAATTTTAAAAAGCAACTTTATTTATGCATGAAAAGTAAGTATAAGTTTGTGCGTAACTTACAGTTGGTTATAAGAATCTAGTTGATAAAGTCTCAGTTAATTTTCTAACTAATATGTTCATTTTATATACTTAACGTTTTTTTGAAATGTGTAGCAAGACTTTCTCATTAAATTTTTAAGGAAAGAAGATTAGACGGTTTATTTTATGTTATTATTGCTATTCAGAATGATTTTTTAGGTTCAGTAACATAAATTGCTGCGCTAGTCGATGACCAAACTTCAGAACCCCAGCACTAACGGTTCACTCTTTAAATAGCGTTTCGCGACAAATACAGATAAAATACTGACTAAACGCAATAGAACAATTTGAAAAACAGTTTATGAAATTGAATAATTATTAAATCTGATCAATTCCTAAGGAAGGAGGAAAATTAAAATATTTTACCTCTATTTTGATAAGTTCTTGTTCAGAGTTTTGCGGATTTTTCCAAACTGATGACAGATGTACCTTTGCTGTAAGACGTTGCCCAACAACTTTCCCTTCATTTTCTGTTATGCATTCCTCATCAAGTGTTGTTGTGGTTTCGTAGGAGTATTTATGAGTAACTCCCAAATCATAACCAAAAGCTACAACTGAAAAATATTGTGAAACATTTTATTAAACAGAAACTTTAGAAAATTTTATGATTCAATGCAGATTTACCCAAAAAAAACAAAGTTTTATTGATACGTTTAAAGTTTCATCGACCCTGTATTTTATCACAGGCGTTGAACAAAACTCCTAGAGGAAAATAACCCGCATTTGCATTACATGGAGAATAAAACCACGAAAACCACCAACTAACGGCAAGAGCATTTTAACTCATGATCAACCTACCAAAGTATATATTTTATTTCAGCACTATGGTCGGTGCGAGCAGAAGCAGAATTAGTACTCTGTCATTGCTGGTATTCCAACCGGAATTGCCGCATTACGAAGCGAGTGCTTTATCCCCTGAGCCACCACGTCTCTGTTAATCATAAAAAGATTTTTTGATACAAAAAGAGGTTTTTACTCTTGATACTTTTAGATGTTTTGACCATATAAAAACTTTAAGTTCTGACAAAAAAAAAAAAGTATTTGTAATTGTAGCTGTAGAACCCTGTTACATATTTTATTTTCCAGTTCTTTTTGGCAACATGAAAAATCTCTGAATTTTACACTATTATTTGTATTAACTTTGTCAATTCTAAGTGCATTGGTATAAAAATGAACAAAAACAAAACTGCATGTGTTATAACTAGAAGCCTCCAGCCTCTTGTTCGTTTCCCTCGCCAACCCCCGTGGAAATATTTTATTCATCAATAAAGATTGAGGGGAAGAATGATTTATTTCGATTTTTTGTAACAATTACGTTTGAATTTCCAACTATTGCATTTCGATGATGTCTAAATTTTTGCAAATCAATAACATTTAAAATCGGTTAAAACTTCTATGTTATTGATTTGCCCGAGAGTTATTTTTCAGTGAAGATAAGTCGTGTGATGGAAACGCAGTTCCTGTTTGTGAGCATATTCGTTTTTCCTCGGAAACAACTTTAATGAACATAAATAGTCCTCCCCCTCCCCTCATGTTCTTGAAAGCCGATTAAATATATTTTAGTTTGTTTAGAAAATATGTAATTATTATAATTTTACGCAAGCACAAATGAAATGAGCTGGATTTTAAAAATAATCAAATGTACTGGACAAAAATAAACTTAAGAATACGGAATATGCAACACAATAAGCAGTAATAAATGAAAAGTGATTTTACTTCTTAACCCTATATAATACGATAACGTTATACCATATAACAGTAAAAACAATTTTTACCTCTCTTCAGTTTTCATATTTTTAAAAATTTCGATATAAATTTTATGATTTATAACTGGCAACATCTAACTTCTTACTTTTTTGTTTACTCATTCATTTATTTATTTATTCATTTATTTATTTATTCATTTATTTATTTATTTATTTTTCTTAATTTTGTTATCAAGTCAAGCTTGAGCTGATAAAATGAAAATTGGAAGAGAGATTCGAAATAGAATTTTCGAAAAGAGCTTGTTAAAGTTATAATTCTAAAATAGTCCTATCAGCAAGAAAATTTCAAGTCCACAGTTTCATTTCAGCAGACAGTCGGTCGACTAGCATGTTTTTCTTCGTTACAGCAAGTTTAACAGTTAATAATTCTCAAACTAATAATCGAATCGTATTTTCTTTATTACATCGAACAACTTCTACATTTTTCTACTCATCTTCGTAATGTCAAGTTTTAAAGTCAGCAATGCAAAATGTAATGAAAAGCAAAAATAGCTGAGAAAAAAATTGCAAAAAAAAAGGTATTTGAAATTGCAATGACTTTCGAACAAATTGGAATATCGAAGAAAAAACTCTGAGTTAATAAACAAATATGGCCCTTTTAAGCATGCCTAATTTTAACTATGCAGTTTGCTGCCTTTTGAGTAGCCATTATAGTATTTTTCCAACAATTTTAATAATTTATAATTATCTTATTAGTTATCAGTTGCTTATTTTCTTATTGCATATTAATTCCTACGCACTTTTTTATATGCCTTGGTAATATCAAGATTCTAAGTCATAGTTTTTGCATTGTAGAATGAAATTCAACCTTAAAGTGAAAACCCAATATAGCGGCGGCGTCGTATCCTAGAAGATAGAAGACCTCAGCAAGGATTAATTTAGTAGTCCGACGTAATGAACATAGATTGCGCAGTGGTGGTTATTAAGAAAGATGGCTACGTTCGGGCTACTAAAGGATCAAATTTCTTGTTTATGGCAACCAGTGTCGAGGTCTTTTCTCTTATAAGAGGTATGGGTCGGCGGTTAATTTACAACATGCAACTAAATTTTTAATACATATAGATTTAACAACATGCAACTAAAACTGAATTTTAATCACAAATGTAAGCTACTACTAATGAATACAAAGAACAGTTCGGTCTAAACGAAAAATACTATTTTGCTGAGAAGAAAATTTCAATTATTGAAACAAGTAAAACAAAATTTAATCATTTAAAATCTTTAACATATTTCAATTTTTTGCAGTCGTAGTGTTACATAAATGTATTAATGGTACTGCAGCAATGATATAGTCAATAAAATTTTTGAGTAGTCATAATGCTGCTGCAAAGCAAAAAGCAACTAAAATGCAAATTTTCTAAAAATTAATTAATGTAATTTTACAAAATTATAACATTATTCATCTGATCTTTGTTTTAATAAACAATAAATAAAAATGACTGAAAAAATTCCGTTTAAACAAATTCCAATGAACATTGAATACCAGAGTAAAACATATTTTTGTTTTGTTTTTATTACATCATATATAAATACATAAACAAATTATTTACAATCAGCTATGAAGTTATAAAGTTGCGGAATTTTTACATTTTAATTGTTACTTTTAATATTAAATTAGTATTTTAAATTATCGATTTTAGTAATCCAATTCAAAAACTATTCACTTATAAAAAACTAAAATGAAACACGATCGTATATCCTTAAAAAAATTTTATTATTGATTATGAATAATGAAGCAAAACATCTAATCAATAAATATATTGAAGTTTTTTTTACATTGAGTTATTTTTATTCAAAGATAATAAATTTGTTCTTATTCCAATATCAGTGATGAGGAAGTACACTTCAACAACCTTTTGTTCGATAACAGCTGTTCTGATTTTGGCCTGAAGCCAGTTTATTAGATTTTTAATCAAATATCTCTTATTGTTTGTTATTGATTTTTACTTTTAATTTTTTTTTCATTTATTTTCAAAAGTGATGCTAAAATACGTTACCATAATGAGAGGCAATACATTTTTTATGACTATTTTAAATTAATTAAAGTTAACTTCTCTTAATATAAAAATAGACAAATAGTCTCTATTTAAATTAGTTATTTATTTTGAATTAGTTTTTAAAGATATGATATATTTTTCAAAAAAATTAGTGTAAGTTTTGGAGCAAGGAGTATTATTTTTGAAAATGGAGCATAATATTTAAGCAAATATTTAAGAAATATATTTAGTTCATTAAACAAATATTTAAATGTAGTAAAAATTGTTTGGCATCAATTTTATTTTTTTTATTCATTTTTAACTTTTTTTATATAATGAGTTAATCAGAATGTTTTTGTGACTGTTTAAAAATTATTTAATTGAAACTGTCGCTGATTGCTTAGATAAAAAAAAATTTTAATATTTTTATTTTTTTTACTTAAATTTTAAGGATACTGTGACTCAAAAAACTAATCAAAATCGGCAATATTTTCAGAAGATGCAAAATTAAGTTTATGCTAGAGTATAATAAGGTAGAAAACAATTTGTAAGGCATAAATGAAAAGCTCAAAATATTACCATAATCAAGTAACATCAATGTTGTGTGGGAAATAACGCAATTTTAATAATGGTTTCTAATACCGCTGTGTAATAGATCAACGTAAGTGACAAAAAATTCAAAAATTGAGATTTTTATATAATTAGCATTTCAAGATAAGCTACATATTGCAAGAAAAATTGTTTTTAAAAATCAATTGTTTTTATCATTTTTTAAAATTCTAATTTTACGTTGATAGAATAAATATAGAAAAAAATAAGAAAATAGGTGTCGAGCCACTTTTCTCAAAATCTATCGTGGAGCACTTACGTTTTTTTTTTTTTAAATTGCACGGCAGAATACTAAAATGGTTCTCAATTTGTTTTTTACATTTTTTATACGGTAGGGCTTTGAGTTTTTTTTTTTTTCCTAGAGCTGAAAAACAGAATACGGATATAACACCATCATCTTAACTATTTTAAGCAAAAATGTTTGAAAAATTTGTTTATAAATACATCTTGTCTTAGTTTAAGAGTTTTCTACTTCTTAAACTTACCACTATGTTACACACACAGTACATTCTCAGGAAAATCGGCTCAACGCCACCCCATAATACATAGCGAATTCTATGTTTAAGTTCAAGTTGAACTATGGTATCATACAATCCAATTAAAATTATTTAGTTAATTAAATGAATAGTTCATTTAATTCAAACTTAAATGATTAATGCAGTTAAACACGCTCCAAAAATGTGTAGTGTTATCTATTTATAGCATTTCTAAGCTATAACCAGTTTATCTAGTTAGTCTCTAAAATAGAGACAATTCGAAATACAATTCAGAAGCTGCGTCAGGAAAAAATAATCACACGCATGCGCAGTGTTGATTTAAGTGATTTGTCGTTGAGGATCAAACAAAACATGCTTTACAATTTTTTTTTATTTAACTGGCTTTGCACTTTAAATGTAACATTTCCATTTTATGGCAAATGAAATAAAAAAAATAATTAGAAAATAACTCCTTTAGATTCTCTTACTTTAGAAACTTCGCCTAATGACACATCAGTCTTATCAGATAGATATTTGTTCTCGCAACTTTTCCTCTTTTTTCTCGTCTAGGTGGCATGTTTTACAAATAGTGATAAAAAATATCGTAAGTGATAAAAATAAAAAGGATTTGCGTGTAGTATCTTCACTTTTTTGATGATTAATAGCATTTATTAATATTTTTAAGATAAGAGAACTAGCGAAATAACTATTCATATCAGAGTTAGAAATATAATCTTAATATTTGATTTAATTGTACATGAGAACGTGACATATATAAAACAAGTATAACAGTAACAAGTACTTAAAAAAGTAGCCATTTTTAAGTAAATAGTACAGTTTTTAAGTAACGAGAAAAATAATACAAATAGGTAGTGAAAATATAATGAATAAAAGTGAGAATGAGCCCAGAACGAACAGCAGTAAGAGTCTTTAATGCAACCCCCTCCAATAAAAGGTCAAGAGGAAGGCCCAAAAAGAGATGGTAAGACTGTGTGGATGAGGATTTCGCCATCCTAAAAGTAAAGAACTGGAAATCAAATGTTGGGAGAAGGGCAGAATGGGAAAAGCTTCTGAGGAAGGCCCAGGCTCACAAAGGGCCGTCGTGCCAATACTGATGATGATAATGCATAAAAACAGCAAATGGAAAATCTTATTTTGAAAAAGTAACATTTTTAAACACAAAGCACTATAAATGAAAATAATAGTTATAAGCAAGGATTAAAAAATTAAATATGGTTTTTAGCTAACAAAAAATATTAGCTATTTGATTTTGAAACATTTACTGCTGTCATGCAAATGGTATTCAGAATTAAATTTATAGCTATAACTTCAGATTTCAATATGAAAAAATTTATATGGCATAAGACGCTTAAGTACAATAAAAAAATAAAAAATTAAGCAAAATAATAACTAGTGAAAGATGTAAAAAAATTATAACTTTAAGATGTGGGTAGTTAAAAATTTTCATTGAAACTGAAAAAAGTATTTTATTAATGAAACAGGAAGAAATTCTGTTGAAAGAATACTATACATGCATAAGTTTTAATAAATTTGGTTTGCTCATTTTAAAACAAAAATAGCCGTTTCAGATTCCTTAGAAAATTCAGTTTAACACTGAATGATATAAATTTGTTAGATATTAAATCATTACAACTAGAAAATTTCATTCAAATCAGTTGAAAATGAGTAACTTACTCATTCGTAGATTTATGTATTTATAGTGAAAATTTAAGTCTTGTGTGACTTTTAATTTGGATTTTTTTATCTTTAAAAAGAATGCTCCGTAATATTTATAAAATCCATATCAGAAATGAAGTAAAAAATATGCACATTTGGATCTGTATAATCGAAATTTTACAAATCACCATTGTGGAGGGTTTTGCATAACATCAAATCCAGTTTTATTGCCAGTTAAAATTTAAGGTGTTTCTAATAATCTCCCTTTAACTCCTGTCTGCTTCCCTGCACAAAATAGTTTTTTTTAGTCTCGCCTTCCTCAATAATGATTCTTCAGATTAAATAGTATTTTTGTTCTATCTTAGCTTATACATTAAATTTGGATTATTTACATGCATATTTCTTTTACTACATTTTTTAAAAGAATTCAAAATATATAATGAGTAAAAAATATTGCATGCTGCATTTAGGGTAAAACATCCTGCATATATCAACGCCTTAGTATATTTTTGGCCATTTACCGTATTACTTCTGAAAACAGTTATCTTTCACTAATGCATAAAACTAAAATATCATTCTATCCCACATATTTAAAAATATTTTGTGCCTATTATTTAAATAACGTTTCTTAATTTTTGTGTTTTTTTAACCATTTAAGTATATGCTTTGCGAATTTGAGTTATTAAAGTTACAACACTTGTCGCAACTTTTAATGCTCACTAAATACAAGATGTTTTTTTAGATTTTTTTCAGTATCAGAAATATTTTAAAATAAGTCTATCAATGATACAGATTTCTACCATCCGTCATTCAAATAGAAAATGTACTAATTTGAACCATGAAAAAAATCTAATTTATTTGTCATTTGAGATTATGAGCCAGGTATTAAAATTATGTTATACATTTGTGTGCACGGCACAATATTAAGTTGTTTTTACAGATATGAATTTAAAGTTCAAGATGCTAAACCTTAGCCTTATTAAAGATTTACAGTTGTTCCAAAAGCGAGTACTTATTATTTAAAAAAACGCTTACAGAAATTAAATTTTCTTAAATTAGCTTTTGGTCTCAAATCGAGTATCATTTAAGTTTTTCTGAGTTCTTTTTTTTCTCGTTTTTTAAAACTTTAATTTGTTTAATTTCATCAAAAAGTTACAATCATTAATAGCCCCTTTTATCAAATTATTTGAATTTTTATTTTTATTTGCTTTAAAATGGATCAAAAAACTTATAATTTTTTTTCTTTAAAAAATTGTTAGTTAAATATTAATAATAAATTAAATTAAACTTTTTTTTAAGAAATTAATCTTCCTTAACTCAAAAAAAAAAACAAGAAGTTCTAAATGTATTTTAGTGAAAAGTCAAACTGTTTCGAAAAATCGCCTCTCAGCAACAAAATAAGATTTTTTTATTTCCTTCACTTTCGCTTTTTTCACCAAAATGTCAAATAAATTATTAATCAACAATGAACATGTATTTTTTCTTCGTTTTTTCTAAAATTCCAACTTTATAAAATTAAAATTTGTCTTAAAAGTATCATTAACCTTAAATATTTGCAAAAGCATGAAAAATATTTACTGAAATTTAAATTATGAGATTGTACATTTTATTTTATACATTTTGTTTTTCCTTTTTCCTTGGATATTTTTAGCTTTCTGCAAAATTTTAGAAAATGGACAATTTACAAATCATATTCAGATACCAACCACCTTTCATAAGTGTATTAAATCAGCTATTTTATTTAGCAAAACATTTTAGTTATTAAAAAGTTAACTTTTCAGTCCAATAATAAAAGCTATTAAAACTTCAATTTGTCTACTTACCATTAAATAGGAAAAGAAGGTACAACTTTACCCGCCACATTCTGATGGTATGCAGTAGAAGGCCACGTCAACCCCTAAGAGTTTCCAACGATGTCCACGTCTAGATAGTTTCAAGATCAACAAATCCTTATCACCATTGACTTCTGACCCTTTCTAATCGCAAACAGGGTCTACTTTAATGACGAAACGTTCGTAAATTAAGCTCACATTTAGTTTAATTCAGCAAAATCTTCATTTTTAAAATTAGATTAAACAGCTGGAGGAAAAATGGTACAATTATTAGACTTTTACTCATTGAAATATAGCACAAACACAATAATAATGCATGCTTCTTGACACTGGTGACTGATTAAAAGTAGCGTGTCTTCATGGTATACAAATAAATCGAGATTTTGTTTTGCTTTTTTTTCCGTGATTCTCTCTTTTATTCATTTCCGGAAGCTGGTCTAGATATAAAAGCCAATGAATTCTGCATCTAAAAATCAAGTCTACTTTGACACGCTGCGTTTGATATTTTTTGTCAAGCAAGCAAAAAGCGTGACGAGTTTTTTTTTCCTTTCTGTATTTTTGTACAACTTTTCGAAGACATTTTAATTCATAAAAGGTTTCAGTAAAGACATTATAAAAACAAGTAACGGTGTAAGGGGAAAGTTGATCATTTCATTTTAATTGGGTTTGCTTGATGAAATCCAGTTAAAGGCAAGACAATACAATAATTTTTTTATTTTGGTTGAAAAGGAATGTAGACATTACGGTTACATAACTTTTAATTCACTTCATTTATGAAGGTTCTGCAGTAGACAAATCGTAAGTACACGTTTCCCAGTGGAACACCGCAGTTAAGCATAACTGGCTGCAATCAGCCGGCGTTTGGACCAAGCATACGCGGTATTGGTCCTCGTTAAACTGTAAATTCAATTTTATAAAAAAAGGGAGACTTTGACAGCACACGATAGAGTCTAGCCAGTGAGTTCATCATTAAGTGAATGTAGCCAGTGGCTTCCTTTTTCACAGTACGAGATCTCAATTGCTCGTTAACTAAGGTCTGTAATCACTGGCTGCGGTCAGTAAGCGGGTGGGTGACCATTTTAATCAGCCTGCGCATGGACCGGGGGTGCGAAGTATCGATCCTCGTTAAACTGTTCATTCGTAAAGTTTTCAACTTCACGCTCTGGTCATTGGGCTACGGAAGCAGGGGAGTCATCTCCTCAGCAGGGGATCAAAATTGCGATGACATGTCTTCGGATCCCACTCAGGAATGTTTCCCAAGCCGTCGCCAATAGCCTATTGCGCAGCTTTAGTGCGACGTAAATAAAGTACCTACCGACTTACTAAGGTCTGCAATGCATATAATTTGAAAGTGTATAAGTCTGGGACTCAAAAGGCTAAATTCCCAAACTACGTCACAGGAGGCCAGTAGCATGTTTGCACTATATAATCAGTGGTGCATTATGAGCAAAAGATGGTTCATGACGTTGCTGACTCACCTAAGCTTCAACAAGAGTAGTATACTATCAGAAATTGTAGAACCTTAAAAACTCCTTGTTGACGAAGTAAATCGAAGATATGAGGTTCGTGAGGTTCCGTGTTGACGTTGAAGGTATGAGGTTCATTACTTAATGTAATGGAAAAATATCAAAGTTTATAAGTAAAGAACACCTATTTTCTGTACCAAAATCTAGAAAAGTTTAGTATCGTGTTTTTAAGCACATAATTGTTATTTTTCTTATGATTCCGAAGTGAGAAAACCTTACAAAAATTCATTTTCTTACAACTTACGATCCAACAACTTTATTTCCTTATAATTTTGAACATTTTCTGACTTTTTTAAGAAGGTCACACCCAAATCACGATGATTATAAGTTTTTGTTGTTCATTTACGTCGCACTAGAGCTGCACAATGGGCTATTGGCGACGGTCTGGGAAACATCCCTGAGGATGATCTGAAGACATGTCATCACAATTTTGATCCTCTGCAGAGGGATGGTAGCCCGACGACCTGCAAGCGAAGTCGAGCACTTTACGGTAGAACAGTTTCATGAGGACCAATACTGCACACCCTCGGTCCCTACGCTTACTGATCCAAGTGGTCACCCACCCGCACACTTATCGCAACCAGTGATGCCTGACTTCGGTGATCTGCTGGGAACCGTGTCTTAACGATCAGTCCACTGTGGGACGATGATTATAAGAGTTACAGCCCATTCTAACGAGCTATGTTTTAGGTCATTGGGTTAATAAAGCGGGGAGCCATCCCCTCTATGAACGATCAAAATTGTGATAGCATATGTTTGAATCATCCTCATGAATGTTTCCCAGACAGTTGCCAATAGCCCATTGGGCAGCTATTTTGTTACTAATATTATTACGAAGCCCATGTTTTAACTAAACGTTGGTTCAAACATTAGTTGAAGTTCCTGAATTTATTTTTATTTTTTACCACTTTATTTTTATTCTTACCTTAATTTATTTTTATTTCTTACTTTTTATTTCCTTTAGTTTTTATCCACGTTCTTAACACGTTTTGGGTAACCAAGGGTATTATAATTGTATTTAGGATCTGATGTAAATTTCATTCACAATTTAAAAGTGGTAAAAAAGTGCTCGTTAAAAATTGATCAATATAACTGGAACTGAACCTAGGAATCGAATTAAGTACTGGATGTAATGCTGATTCGTTTTCTCAATTTCATTACGTAAAGTGAAACTTGTGAGGAGTAGCATTTCAGTGAAGAAAACACTTGATCTTAAGTAATGATGGACAGGCTTATCTATTTAATGGCAGGCAGCTTTACTACAAGTTGAACATAAACCTAACCATAGCCAAATACCTAGCCCTATTTTTAAGGCGCTATCTTTTTAACAACCCTGGCAGTAATAACATGTAATTTGAGCCCGGATCAGATGGCGTAGAAAGCGCCTGTGCTGGTACTCCTCTCTCCAAACTGCTGCATCACAACCAACCAGAGAAGTTTCAGATACAACAGGTTTAACGTGAACCTCGCTGCGTATACCTGCCAGCTATTAAATCAGCTGCCAAGATCAAACTCACAACCATGGGTTTTCCACCAGCGTAGTGAGCGATGAATTTATCGACTGCACTACCGCAGAATTTCTTCTGAAGTAACCATACATAGTTTCGTCATTAAGAAAGCTATTTCGTCATTAATCCATCTATGGCGAATCACCCATACGATCTCTCTATGGATAAAATAATGCATAATATGCCACTTCTCTGTCAATGAATAACGCGTAATAAACAGGGCAGAATACAATTATTTTCTATGATTACATCAATATCAATACCTGATATTATTAATTTTATTGTTTCTTTGTAATCCATAGCCATGGTACAGGTCATAGAAAAAGCATAAATAAAAAAAATATTAAAACGGAAAATCTTTTCATGATGACTTAAATAGAAAAATTTGACTAAAATAATGAATGGAGTACCCTTTGCATTTATTCATACATTCTTACTGTTCAATCTTGCATTATTTTAAACAGGTATTAAAGAGTTGAAAAAGAATAACATTAGAAAAAAAACTAATTGTACATTTTTAAGAGCTTATTTATCGGAAGAATAAGAAGAGAGAAAATCTATAATGGATAAATAAATATTTTAAGTACGAGGTTTTTATCTGAAGTTTTAATGTAAATAGCAATCTTCGAGGCGAAATAGAATGCTATAAATAAACAAGAAAGAAAAACATTCTGAAATCAATACCTCAGCATTTCTTGTTCTGCCGCTTGTTAGGTAAGAACTTTTTTTCTCATTTGTATTCCAATTAAAGATTAAAATAGCAGATTGACAAACAAAAATAAATAATAAAAAAAACAGAAGTAAACAAAATAAACATAAAAGGAAGTATAAGAATAGAAATTGTTAACAAGCAAGAACTCTTAAGTGCCCCCGATACTTTTGATAAATTCTAGTGGAATGTCAAAGTCAGGCTCCGCAAGGATCATCTCATTTCTGCTATTGACTCAAGTGGTTTGCAACAACGAATAGCTTATAAAAAAAAGCTTTACATTTGCAAACAAAAACCTCTCCGGTATTTTTTTCCTTTTAACAAAGTCCCACCCTTTTATATTTTTTTATGCGCATTTTAAACCTTATTTCTATAACTCTAATACCAAGATTCCTGGAGTCCCTTTTGTCCTGCTCACTTTTCCTTTTTCTCAAAGGGCTCCTTCTCCTTTTCCTGGAAGACCCCCGCAGCGACAAAAAAAAAGAAAAAAAGAATGAAGATCCGTTTGAAGTGTTTTGTCGGGACTTTGCCACATAATTAGCTGCTGCAACTGTTAGAATATAACACTCAAAGCAACTTCTCTCAAGGGAAGGTAGAAGGGAAGAAGGAAAAAAAATACTTCACAAAAAGACATTGGCGAAAAGCTCCTTTTGTTAAAGATTTTTCTATGACAGTTTTTCTTTCTTTTATTTACTAATAATCCTTGTATTTTTTTTTCGCCAAGCCTGAAAAATGGTTTGGAAAGCGCGGGCCACTTTTGAAGGCTTCTTTCTCATTTATTGGAGATGTTGGCGTCAGCTGTTGGTGTAAGGTTTTCCAAATCTCCATAGCAACCGAAGGCGATTCTTCATTTGTGGCGAATGCCCAAGCATCACCATGCAAGAGTTCAATCGGAAATGTGTTCGAAAAGTCGACAACCACCCACATGCACCCCTCTGGGGGGTGAGGAATGGAGAAAGGAAGCTGGAATCTGGTTGCCGGATAATTGAGGTCCGGACCTTGTCATTCTTCCGGATTAGTATCCTCTTTCATCCTGGAGAGGGAGGATGCGCTTCATTGATTGTCGTCTTCTTTCCATCCCCCTTTTTGAGAAGAAGGGATCGCTGTTTTGAAGAGGATGGGGATGCAGAGATCATCTTCACCATTGAACTATAAGGGTTTTTGATCCCGAAGGCAAATATCAAAACAGAGCACGTGTAATTGGAAAAAAAAGAAGAAAAGATTCAGATTATCAAGTGATATTCGAGAACAGGTGAAAAGATGCTCAGGGGATTTGGCTTACGTGGATATGTATTTTTCGAATCTCTGTTTTCGGACTTTAGATTGTTTTTCAAGACGGTAGATTCCGTTTAAATCTGTCTAGTTTTTGGAAATATTCCTATTGGATTCGAAGTTCTTTTGAATTCTTAGTCTGTCACTAGGAGAGATTTAACTGTAAAACTACAGTGAAATTAGTTAATATATAATTTTTAATGTGAGATAAATCTGTGTAGCAATAAAAAAAACTATAAAAAACTGCACACAAAAAAAAAACATTTTTTTTGTACAACTATTTATTATTATTATTTTTTAGAAAAAAGAGTATTTTGATCTCTAAAAATAAAAGCTTTTTATTTTTGAAACAAGTTTTTTGAAAAAATTATTTGTATTCTTAGACTATTACTAGACGACATTGAGCTATAAAACAACATGCAAATTTGTTAATTTATCATTTTTAATGTGAAATAAATTCAATCTGATTCTGAGTAACAAAAAAAAACTAAAAGAAATTACATAAAAAATGCAAAAAAAACTTTTAAAAAACAGAAAAAAACTATTCGTTATTAATTTAAAAAATTATTTCCAAAAGAAATAATTTTTTGTTTTTAAAATAATTTTTTTGACAAAAAGAGTTTTTTAGTTTATAAAAAATGGCAATATATTCAGAAAAAAAGCATTCAAGTAGTTATGAATTTTAATTTTTGGAAGCTAAAAAATAGTCACATCAAATTTTAAAAAAAGAAGGGGGGAAAGCTTCTTTTTTTTACATTGTATAACTTTGATGTAGCACATTTCTTTTTTCAGTTCTTGAAAGCGAAATGAAATTTAGTACTTTAAACTAAATAATTCTGATTTTTATTCATTATTAATTCGTCAGGAATAATTATAATTGATTCTTTTGAATAAATCTCTAGAACAATCTGAAAATTTTTCAATTCTAATGCTGATTTTTTTTAAGATTTCCGATCCCAAAAATATTTAATGGAACGAAAATTAAATAAAATAACTATTTTAGTTGTCAGTTCTCCTAAAACTCTGAAATTCAGTACAATAGCTCACAAAAGAGAAAGATATTTGCTATTGTTATTTAAATATTGAATTACAAGCAAGAAAGAAACAATAAATAACATGTACGTTTAAATTTCTAATTTTAATTTTTTTCTTAAGATTTGCGATCTCAAAAATATTCGTTTGAATCAAAATAAATTACATGTTTTAATTTTATGTTTAATGTTCTAAATTTAATGATCTCATTTAAAATTTAATGCTCTAATTTTAAGTTCTCTTAAGGTTTTAAAATGCAGTATAATAACTTTTGAACAAGAAATATATCAGCGTTCGTAATTTAACTATTGAATAACAGGCAAGAATAGGAAACAATAAATAACGCGTACAGTATTGAAAATCAATAAACCTGAATTAAAATTGATTTTTTGTTGTTCCACTTAAGAGTCTGATTTATATCACTACATTAACAAGGTAATATTTCTATTTGCTTTTTCAATAAACCGCTGACAAGTGAAATTGGAAGAGGAGGAATTGATCTTTAACGTAATAATTTATTCAAAATATTAATTTATCACAAGCTGGGGGGACTTGTGAATGCATCTTAACGTCGTTAGATATTCCTTATGTACGATACGGTTTCAAATATTCTTAATGCTAAATTAAATTAGGAAGAAGCTACCTTAATAATTATGTCAAAAACTCTATTAAAGTTGGATTATTTATAGATAATTTTTGTTATTAGTTGAATAATTAATAATATGACTTCATACACTATCTAAGCATTCGCCACCTCGCCAAATGCAATAAAATCGTAAATTTGGCGAATAAAATAGCGTTTTGGCGAATGATTTTTTCCACTAAAAAGAAATACAGTCAAACCCCTCTATAGTGAACACCCGAATATAGTGAACGAAATGTTCGCTTCCGTACCTTACTATACACATATAATATTATTTTTTGTGGATATAGTGAACCAAATGAAGAAAGGAAATTGGATATTAGGAACTTTTTTCTGTTTCCGAGTGATTTTTTTTCCTCATTTTTTGGTAATTTTGAAATTTCTACATAAAATACATATACCGATTTTCAAAACCATCTATTGAGGGGAATGTAGTCATACGCATTTTTTCTTGCTTGCTTCTTCTATCTCAGTTTCTTCTTCTATCTCAAATTATTCCTCATAAGGCATACATCCCACTAGTTTATTTCAAATTCCCTAGTTTCCCTTGTAAGTAATAGAAATCAGGAATAGAAATCAGGAATAGGAAACTATTAAAATAATTCATTGTAATCAATAAAATTTACGGTCTTCGGGCATTATATTGATCAACCACACATTCACATATTTTAGAAGAATGATTTTGATGTATATCACCACGATTTCCCTTTTTTTCAAAAAAAAAAATTTCTGTTTTTTGTGCTGTTATTAAAATGAAATTCCGTAAACTTGAAACGCCATTATGCAGAAACTATACAATGGATTAATATGATTAAAATATTCAGCTTTAAGAAAAATTTATCTTCATATTAACCAAAGCAATTCAGTTTCAGTTATTTTCCATAAGTATTTCACATTAGTTAGAAGTACAAGTTCTAATGAAAAACTCAATGCTGCTATTTGAAGATGCATCATATCATTTTAAGTTATGTATGTTTGGTAACTAAGTCTCCACTTTTTTTAAGCATTAACATTCAGCATCTCATTGAATATTTTTGGCATAATGTTTTCGGTCATACTCAAAACGAGTTTTTTTTTCTTTCGTTCGAGTTCATTTATGTTAATCACGCCTATTACCTCTAAAAGCCTTAAAAATGTAAATAAATAAATAAAAAAAGACTTTTTAGTTAAGGTGATGTAATTGGAATATTTCCAGGGCTAATTGGACAATTTTAGTAGTTGTTATGGTAAACCATTGCATAATTTCGTCATTTTTTTATTATAATGAATTTAGATTTGGAGCAATAAATTTTTATTTAGTTAAACCTTTCGGAGGCGACCACTCTCTGTTCCACAAAACGAGCTGATTCCACTCCCAGTCGCGATTCCAATTCCGCACTCAGTTCGCATTGACCATAGTGCGACGCAAAATATCGTCAGCGGTAGGCGAATCATGAGTCAGAGTCTCCTTGCCGTAGGCCTAACCGTGAGAGGTTCTCGGATTTTAAAAACAGAAGAGGGTTAGTCCATCAAAAAATCCTTCATGAAGGCAAATTTCTCCCAATGATCAAGGAATTTCACTGTCTTCTGGACTGGGCTCAGAATTACAAGGCTATAGAGTTAAGTGTTGGTAGTCGTAAACTCAAAAATTGGGTTGACTGTTCAACGACAGTTGTAAAATAATTAATTCAGAATTTCCTCCCAATCTTCCGCAGAGTCAGTTGCCTTCTGTTTTAATTGGTGCTTCTTGTAAAATGATCTCCTCCAGGCGATGATGAATTCTAACTTTGATTGTTTAAATTGATAGGTTGTGGTAAGAGGGCATTTAATTTTTCAGAACATTGATATGGAATGTCAAGTTGAGGAAAAGGAGAATTTTCAGAACTTTCTTCTGTTTGCTTTTAATCAAGGTTCTAAGGCTGCAAAAGCTGTTCGTGACATTTGTGGTGTGCAAGGAGATGCCATATCTGAAGGATGGAAATTTTGACCTCAAAGACGCACCTAGCACTTTTGCAGAATAAAACACTTGCTTGATAAATATAATTCACCATATGTAATAGAAATAGCACGAAAATATGAAGGAGATAGTCACAGTTTATGTCTCATAAACTATGATTCGGCTAAAACAGTAAAAGTTTGCAGATTAAAATTTTATCTATAAACCTATTTTTTTAATTGTTCCTCTAATTATTTTATTATAAAATAGATTCGGATGTTTACAATTACGTTAATGGGTAAACGCAATTATTTGTATGTTTCATCGTGATCAAATATTTGTTTAGAAACCAAAAGCTGATTCGGAATAATTTATAGCATATCAAAAAATAGGCATAAATTTACATACTTAGCTGACATATTTTTGGAAATAAATGAATTAAAACTGCCATTACAAGACACAAGATAAATAATTTCAAATAAAGTAGTTTAAAGGTTTTCATCCCCTCAAAAGTTTTTTATCATAAATTTAACGTGACATGAATGTATAATAAAACATCTAAAACAACTTCAATTAACTTTTAATGTTGATGTGAATTTAGAGGTCTCTCTAACTTTTACTGATAAAATTCATTACTTGTTTTACGATAGTTTTTTAAAAGCTTTTTATTTCAAGGATTACTCTTTTCTTTTTCTTTCACTTAATTCTTCAATTAATTTTTGTATTTTGATTATTTGGTTTTTGATAGTATTATAATGTAATAAATTTTGTCACTATTTCAATAATTAAAAAAAAAGCTTAGAATTTTTATTACATTTTTCTATCTGCGAATTTAGCTAAAAGGTAAAAGATCTAAACCTGAAATTGTGAACATTGAATCAACTTTTTGTTTTATCAGACAGACATTATCACTTTGAGAGTTTTTTTTTTTCAAAACATTAAGTATCGAATTATTTGATAATTATTTTCCTCTGTCATAATTCTATCCCATAACTATCACAATTTGATTCGTGTAAAGATGGTTAACGATTATGTTTGCATTATTTTTTATGAATTATTGGGTGTTCTTTAAAGACCAAACTTAATGTGTATTTTAAAAATTCTCGCAATAAAAAAAACCAAAAAGTATACTAATTTGGGGTTGAAAATTCATGTTTTGACGAAGAAAAACAAAAAAAACACTATCTAAATCTTACAAATCACAATGCGTGAATACAAATATAATTAATTACAAAACAGGTTTAATTGGAGGTTGAAATTTGCAGGAATTTCCAGGGCCTGATTACCGAAAAGGCACAGGAAGCAAGTGCTTCCCCTGTGAAATTCTACGGGGGGCCCCCAAATGACTGAAATTAAGGGCCCGATTTCGTACTTTTTGCAACAACAAAAAAATAATAATAAAAGAAATAAGATTGGAGGAAAATTTTATATAGGGTTGTAGCTGTTGTGAAGTTTATTTCAATACGTGGGCTTTCATGTTTTGACGACAATGAAACCTTTGGTTCATTACAAAATGGTAATTTTTTGGGCATAATTGAACTGTTAAGTTCCTTCGATACATTTTTAGCTGATCACATAAGAAACACTGGAAATAAAGGTAGTGTCAACTATCTGTCTTCAACAACTGTGACAGAGTTTATCAACATCATGTCTAATAGCGTTTTGCAAGAAGCTGAGGTTAAAGAAGCGATGAAATATTTTGGCCTGATTGTTGATTCAACTCCTGATATTTCCCATGTTGATCAACTAGCCATAGTTTTGCGATACGCTGATAAAGATGCTGAACCTGTGGAACGGTTTTTAAAATTTGTAACCATCCATGGCCATAGCACTCAGCAACTACAAAAAGTAATTACAGATTTTCTTGAAAACATGCAGATTGAATTGAAGTATTGCAGAGGACAATCATTTGATAATGCCAGTAATATGTCAGGAAAGTATTCTGGACTTCAAGCACGTTTTTAAGAATGAATTTCCTTTAATGGATTATGTCGCATGCTCCGCTCACTCGCTGAATTTTGTGGGAACAAGTGCTGCAGAATGCTGCCATCATGCTGTGTCATTCTTTGGACTGGTTCAAAATTTATGTGCTAGCTACTCCCTCATGTTTTTGTTACTATAAAGTACGTAAAGAAGAGTCCAACATGATTGCATAAGATCTCTGTTTTATTTTCTAAGATTCTAATAGTTTTCACATGGTTCTTGTCTCTTTAAAATGTATTGTTTATGGGCTAAAAATATCAAAAGCTTCTTTTGCTCAAGTTAGGGGGCCCCAAAATCCTATTATGCTTCCCCTATTTTCAGAGGTTAATCGGGCCCTGGGAATTTCTAATAATCGTCTTTCAACTCCTCTTTTTTTTCCTCACGCAATCAAACCTGTCTTGTTGTTTATTCTATGATTGGTCTATGATTGGACAGATTTCATTCTCATTCTTTTTTCTTTCCTCGTTCATTAATCTGTTAATTCACTTTTTATTTACATTTTTCACGAGGATATTAAAAATACATATTAAGGGCGTCTTTTCAAAACACACTGCAGTGTGCAACATAAACAATGCATGTTCCATCAAACTTAATTGATTTCTTACATGTTGCTGCCGATTACTTAACCCTTTGGCGCAGAATTTTTATTAAGCAAATTTTTCACATTTTTTTTTTAGTTATTTTGCATTAATGTAGGTTAAAATACTATATTTAACATTTTAATAATTTATAGCTATGAAATAAGCATGAAACACACCGGTGTCTTTTTCTGCATTAAAGCTAAAATCTGCCATACACGGCTCACTCTATAACAATAATTTTTCAATATTGCACTTATTTTCATTAATTCAGATCTAAGAGAAATAGTTATTCATCATTGAATTTTTTTTAAATTCAGAAAATCAATTATTTATAAATATTAATGGAAAAAAGTTCAAAATACTTTTTTCTTATTTTATATTTTAGTTCAAACATAATTCCGATAATTTAATATGCATTTTAGTAACCCTTAGACTGTTTTTTATGATTAAAAAATACCAATATACATTTTTGTTCGTGATTAGAAAGCTGGTCGATGCGATTCTACACCCGGCTCGCACCAATCACAGTGCTGACGTAAAATACCCTCAGTGGTAGACGGATCAACGATTAGAGTCCCCTTGCCGTCAGGCTAACGGTGGGAGGTTTTCGTGGTCTTCCTCTCCATGAAACACAAATGAGGAAATAGTTCCATTAAAAAGTCCTCCACGAAGGCAAAATTCCGTCCTATCCTTGATTCAGGAGTTCCCTTGTCTTCTAGATTAGGCTCAAAATTACAAGGCTACGGAATTGAACCTCGGTAATAGTAGACTTAAAATTGGGTCGGCTGTTTCAACGACAGTCATAAAATAATCTAGCGGTGAAATTTCTTACAGTGTATACATAAAATTTGCATCAAGACTTGGACAAAAACTGTGCCCTTGTGAAGTGGACATAAATAGTTCTGCTCCAGACATAAATTGGTTTCCAGGAAAGTTTATTGCTTTGTACGCCTACGTACAATGCAATATTGACCACTTTCTTCTTCAGGAAACCGTGGTTTGTAAGAAATCAGCTCACATTTGTTTCAATCTAAAAAAATCAGATTCTCCAACTCTTAAAGAGGCATTTTTCTCAAATTATTAGTCTCAAAGAGACATCCTACTATTATTCATAATTTTTATTAAAATTATTCTATCAAAAGAAAAATTCAAAAATAATATAATTTTTAAGTCGTTATCCTTTTAACTACGTGAACAAATATATTATTAAAAGGAAAGAAAAAATCAGATAAGATATCAGAAGTAACAATATTTATTTCGAAATTTTTTCTACAACGATAAAGAAATGACAATTTTACGGAGATAAACTTATTCTAAAATCTGTAACATTAAGTGTCAGAATATTTTAGTACAAAGTTCAATACATTAATAGTAAAGTGTTGTGCGAGTAAACACATATTTATCATACACATACAAACCATAACATGATTGCAATATTTAACAGTCGAAACAAATAAAATAAGTAAAAGTGCAAACATATAATACACTGTTAGAAAATTTGGAGCGTATTGAACTATATAATCGTTCGTATATGCTACAATTTAAACCATGGTAAACCACATTTTCATACAAATTAATTCTACTTAAATTTGATCACACGATTCTACTGTTTAACGTTAACGGAAACGTAATTCAATTTAATACCTCGTTAAGATTGTAGCAAACATGCACGATAATATAGTTTAATATATTGATATTATCGTTTTTCTGTGAACCGATAGTTCTGATAGTGTATTTTGCCTGACAAAATTAACATAATTATTGCGATACGGTCAAGTTAAAAATGGACACAAGTGTGAGATACTAAACTAAAATATCGCTTCCTTTGTTTTAATATTACTAACTAACTGTAATAAACTGTAAACAAAGTTTCAAAATTACTCTTGTTTCTAACAAATTCCTCAAAATCATTATTTTTGAGTGATGAATTTCACTGGAAGTTTTTATCTTTTAAGCTGAAAGTTAAATCCAAAACAGCATGTATATTACTAAATGCATAGGGTGAATATTATTTAATAAATGTTAGTTTTTTAAATTTAAGTAACTAATAACAAAAATCAATAAACCGCAGTAAAATGTATCAGCATATTTTTGAAGATCTGCTTTGCGAATACATAATATTTTGCTTTCACAGACTGCATCGAAATAAGTAAAATATATTGGATATTATCAAAAGTATGCATAAGCTAAATCAAGAAGATATAGTTTCTCTTAGGACAAAATAAACATCGTTTCGATATTTGAAAATACAAAAATAGTACATAGCTACCAAAACAAGGACGTAATATCTTACGTAACAAACAAATAAAATACAAAAATTATATAATCAATAAAATTTATATAAAAGGTTTTACAGAAAGAACGAAAAAAAAATTTTTCCATTTAAATTTAGGCAAACAATTTTTGAAAAAAAAATGACGTCTTTCATTTTGCTTAAAGAAATTCTGATATCGAAAACAGTTAAGCATTTATATAAAATAAAAATATAGGGATTTTCTAATTTGTTGGTTCTGGTTGGTAAAAAAAACTAACGATACTTGTTTTTGCTTTATACAATATATATAGATGATCTATCTTTAAAGATATTGATAAAGATGGCATTGGATTGGTTTTGAAAACAAAAACAGTTCTTATTAGAGATTAGTGAGTGTTTTTATGTGGTTTATGTCATTTTTAAAATTAAAAAAATATGAGGTCCCACACCATCTACTGCCATTAATTCTACTCTATAATGATCTCTATAATAACTATAATTTATGTCAATATTACAATAATCAATCTATTATTTAATAAGCTTAAAAAAATTCTATAAATTAAAAATTAATTCTTAGACTGATATGCATATTAGTATTCTAAATTTTCTAATTAGTTGTAATTTACGATTATAATAAATAAAGGATTTGCTTCGACAAAAAAGTTATAATTTAATTTTTTAACGTGATTTTTTTTCAATCGAAAAATATATATTAGATGCTTGTAATCACCCAGGGCTAAAGAGAATACAAGGGCTAGTTCACTCCGCTCTTAGAGCTGAAACTACGATTTCCCTCCTCATGACGTCACTGTGTCTACAGATCTCGGAGATCGCAAGCAAAGATATTATAACTCTGCATCTTTCTCTTGTAAAAATAAGTTAGACTTTTTCTGGTTATTAGTCTTCAAACTTCACGTAATTAACACATTATTTCCGTTCATAGACATAGTTAAAAAAAACTTTCTTGGTTATTATATTAAAAAAATACCATTTTAAACTTATAAAAGTGTTTTGCTAGTTGGTGAAAATGACACGATAAATACTTTATTTTAAAAAGTTCAGTTTTAACTTTAACTATTAAGAAAAATGAAGGCATATATCGACACTTTTTTTATCTACATATTCTTTTATAAAGATAAGTTAAGTTAAATTTAGAATCCCTGATTTTAAAATATGTCGTTAATAGCAATTTGTTCATACTTAATCATTAGGAAACATCAACCTTAAACGCTAATTACTGAAACAAAATAATAATTTAGGTTCATAATGACATTAGAAATTTTACAATTGTTTATAGACATTTAAATTTACGATGATATAATTTATAGATATTTAAATTGAAGAGAATATAATTTTTAAAAAAAATCATAAATATTTAGAATAACTACATTAAAAAATATGTTATGAAATTAGGAGAATTTCAACTATATACTATATATTTTATTTATACTTTTTACTTACATTTTAATTTTCTTTGACTTTATCTATTTTTTAATTCTTTTCACCTGCCTTTCTTTATGAAGTAACGAGGCGGTTTCTATTTAGATAATGAATTTTTATAAAAGTTCTTTACGACAGAATAAACGTATTGCTGTTTTATATTAACTGTGTCATTTCGGAATCCATTCTTTACATAGTTGTTCATTTACTTTAGGGAACACGCGAAAAATTATACTTTTTCCTTTTGTTTTTATATCAGAATTTTTGCAAGTTGCAATCGCGCAAACTGGCATTTCGATAATAGTTTTAAATTCTTGTAAATTCACTGCAAAAACTGAGGAAAGTCATTATAGAAAATAACAAATGTCTTAGAATATCTCGCAAAAAGAAATGATCCAATATTAGTTAGAGCTAGTAAGGCCAAACGCTCCGTTCTTGAAGTAAAAGTGCGAGCTTTGCGCCAAAGTGACGTCACTAGAGTGACATCGGAGGATCGGCGCGGCAAGAGATACTTCAAAGGAGTGAACTAGCCCTTCTATTCTCTTTAGCCCTGGTAATCACCACCTCTAATAAATAATTTAAAATGATCGTAAAAAATGAAGCCAGAAACAGTATACAAATTAAGAGTCGCACATAAATATTTAAGCAATAAAAAACAATAATAAAGAATTCTATCGAATTGTAAGAATTCAAATAATTCTTAAAGAATTAAAATTATTTTAATTCTTAGAATTATTTGAATTCTTAGACTGAGCTGATTCAAAAAACATTTATTGGATGTTTTTAATCACCATTTATAATAAATAATTTGGAATCGTTATAAAAAAAATAAGAAGGCAAAAAATTACACTCATTCGAAGTCATACATATATGTTTAAGCAAGAAAAAACAAAAAAACACTACTGATATCAGTCGAACTATTAAAGGAAATCTTAGATTAAACAGATCAAAATCAGTTTGAGAGCACGATAAAATTTAAAGATATTTCTAATAATCACATCAACTGTTCTGTTTCCTGCAGCAAACCAACAGGATTCGATGTTTCAGTTTCACCTTACTTAATAGTAGTTTGCTAGATTTCAAAAATTATTACGTTCTCCCTACGCTTGCATTTTAATTTGTAACCCCTATTATGTATGCATTTCTTATTTCATTACGGATTAGTTGTCTAAAAATATAAGTTGAGGGTGGTGATTATGGAACATCGTGCTTTCTAACAGAACTTTTCGTTATCATCGTTATTCATTGAATGATTTTGTATAAGTGATGAAATTGTTAATTGAATATACATTGCCCGGTTTTCATATACTGAAGTTTCTTTTATGGTTAAAAGCTATTGCCAAATTTTCCTACACTGATTTATTTTAATGTTAAAGACCATTGCTCAGATGATAATGTGTATAGTAGCTATTAGGCTTTAGATATTAGGATTCAGACTATAACTGACCTGACTTAGTTAGACCCAGTTTTACTCGGTTAAAAGTGTAACCATTGGAGGTTTCAGGAGCTATAACCAGTAAGGATTGATTATCTCCAACTTTAACTGCATAAATCTACTTTTAGCTTTAATTATTCTTTTAACCCTAACATATGCACCAAATTAAGACATTGTAAATAAAAGTTTTATGATACATTAAGCAAGCAGTAAAAAAATTTCCGAAGTGTTAGCTGTGAAAATAAAAAGTGTTGTTTTCGTGGATTTGAAAAAATTTTTTAAAGTATTCTAGTGCTCTAAAAGTTTAAAGTATTCTTGTTTAAAGTATCCCTAAATCAAGTAGACAAAATTATCACAAACAAGCAACTATTAGATAAAATTATAGATTTTTATACACGCCTTTCCAAGTTATTTCATTATCAGGTATTTTTACATAGGTTATTTTATATGTTATACATTTTATACAAAATTTAAGTTTCTGTCCTGTCTTCTGAAATGGCGAAAACTTGAAAAGCCTAAGTCTATTAACGTGATACAAATTAAATTAATTAAATTCTTTTCCTATAAACGGGAGTTAAGGGAATAAAGGAGATATCTATCCACTCCTAAAGTTGTAAAATAATATATACTTTTCCGGAAAGACATAAATTTATCGACAGATAAACCGATTTATTTTTTTTCATTCAACTTTTATTTCGATTTATTAAAATTCTTAAAACTGATCATTTTGTTTAAATCAAAATTAGGTAGCTTAATTTTGCATTTTGCAAAAAAATTAGCTTTCACTACGACCCTGCTCATCAGAAATCTTGACTAGGTCATTGCAGTTTCCGGTCTAATTACTATTACCTAACACACTGTAAAAAATGTTTATTCAGATTTAACAAAACTTTCTTCGTTTGAATGAAATATTTCGTCCTTCTAGCTTCAATCGTCTAGTCTTTATTCTGTTTCGTCATTCCAGTTAACAATGCACTGCGATGAGGTTCCGAGTTGAGGAAACATTTTCGTCAGGTATTTGAAAGTCACAAATCACATGATTTCGTGACAAAATGATTCTCAAAATTAACAAAACACTCAAGAAACGCTGAATCGTCAAAATGAAAGTTTTGTTTCTGAGAATGCATACCATATTATGACATTTTAACATGATATATGAAAATACGAGTTTAAAATAATCAAGCGTGTAATCAACAAGAAATCTATACCATTAAGAAATAAATTTTATAAAATTGACTGTTAATAATGATTCGAGAAATTTTTCAAAAAATTTTAGAAATAGTAATTATTTTTATAATTCTTCGAAATTTGAGATTTTGTTGTTATCCACACATACTATACATTATGAAAGTTAATAGCTGTATCTATAAAAGAAATACCAAAAGTGTAAAGTGAGAAAAGTGCCAAAGGATAGTAAAAAGAATTCTATTGATGTACGAAAAGATTTTTTTTTAACAACGACTGATCTTAACGACAAGAGCAGCTTTCCACACTCATGTTTGGGTAGCTTTTGAGAATGACATTCCTGTTCTCATCATAGTACATGAGAGAAACAGAACTCAGAGATTGAGGAACGCAGCATAAACCTGGTACACCTTTCTTCAATCCCATAGAGTAGATTAAACTTTGAATCGTGGCATGGTTGGATGACTGTACATTCTGGAAAGGATGGTAAATATTAGGCTTGAAAAAAATAATCAGTTGACAAAAGAATCCTCTCTACAAGTATACAAAATCTACAAAAGAACCCTGTACAAATCTACTCTATAAAAATAAGACACTATATATTGATTCCAATTAAATATTCCATTGTTAAAAAAATAATGCAAACAAGAAAAATTATACCATTTGTATGAAATAATTCCCATTTTCTTCCACCATAAAACGAATACTATTAACTATAACGAAATATATTCTTCTATAAAACTGATAATGTCCTCTACAAAACAGATACCTTTCGCGATAAAATAGATATCATTCACTGTAAACATAGAGCGGATCAGTTGGCCAAAGACGTGACTTACCTTGATGTCGAACTTTTGATATCGGTCCCGTTGCTATACTGGAAACATACTGCTTGGAAAAAAAAACTGCATTGAACTGTAACATTGAATTCTTATATTCACCAAATCAGTGTAAGCTAGAAGATTTTTTTTCCAGCTATTTTAGAGCGGTTAAAGTGTAGGAAGTTTTTTACTGAGTTTAAATTAACTCAGATTCTTACGGGACAAATTTTAACAACTATTTGTTCAGGTTTAATTTAGTAAATTGTAATTTTTGTTCCTACTGTCAGGATTTTGACAATGTAAAACACTTTATGTTTTATTGTAATTTTCATTCAAGTCGAAGACAGAGCTTAAAAAAGCAGCTGAGACACCCAGGTAATTCTTGGCTACTTCTTTTGTCCCTCTTCTTAAATGCACTGAAAACCTAAATATTTTACGCGATTTTGTTTGCAACTTAAACTATTAATTTTGGCTTGTTTCTTTTTAATTTACAATTGCACTTCGTCCACTTACATCTGTAAACCACGTGTTATACTTTGTGGAGTATTAGGGGCTGTATAATAAGTTTAAATAAAAAAATGACTATGAGCAGATACTATTCACCCTAAAAAAGGTACTCACCACTATATGTCAGATAATTTCTACTATAAAATGAGTAGTATCCCCATGAAATGGATACTACCCACTACAAAACGAGATATTATAAAACAGACACTTTCAACTTTATTTCCACATTTTCCATTATAAAACAAATGCTGTCTATCATGAAATAAAATATTTTTACTATTTAACAGATAATTTTAATTGCATACACATTTCAACTAAAAAAGAATTTTTTTTTCCTACTACACAAATAGGTATTTTTCACCCTATGAATTCTCTTAACTATAAAATGTACGCTTTCCACAACAAATGTATTTTTTTCCATTATAAAACAAATAAATTCAAAAAACCCAAACGGATACGGTCAACTATAAAATATGAGCTTTCTAATACAAGTTGGAACTGTCCAGGAAAAAAAATGAATATTTTCCATTTCAAACGAATACTATCCACTGCATTTGGTCGAACAGATACATTTATGTCCAATAAAATTACGAAAAGATTACTGGCTCTAGGTAAGTTAGCGTATAAGGTAAGTAAGGTGTCTTTAAAAAAGTTTGTGAAATTCTCAATGCTTACTTTCTTTAGGGGATGAGAACAAACACCAGAACAATATGAAGCATCGAACGTCTTGGGAGAAATGATCCAGTCGCCCCAACCTATTTCTGCAAAATTTACGACCAACTTCCGTTTTTGGCATGAATCTTGATCAAATGTACTCTCATCATCAAGATAATCATCTTCATCATCTCCTTCGTAGTCGGGATTATTTCTCGTCTCCTTTTTGAACCAATCTACAAAATAAAAAATTACCAAGAATTTAACTCAAAATTTAAATTTCGATACCTATAAGAGAAAAAATAATGATGAAGCATCCAATTCCTCTTGAGATTTGCAATACCGGTACGCATTTTAAAAACTTTATTGGCAACAAACTTGCAAAAATAAGCGTTAGCTGGAAATGTTGCCTTGGACTATGTCCTAAATGTTGCCTTCAAAATGCTGCCTGCTCCAATTTCAAAATCATATCACAATTTCAAAAAAATGTTACATCATTTCGTTTGATTCTCTTAAATCACTTCGTTTGGGCGAAACAAAATCGGGGTTGATAACTATTTACTCCTTATTCAATTATTTTCAATCCCACAGTTCATTTGTTAATCAACAATTCATTAATTTTTTGTGAACAAGAAAAATTCAATTGTAAATAAGTTACAATAGTTCGGTTATAGCAGATACTGAAACGCTAACAGCAAATACAAAGTAAATAACTAATACTATTTGTGTGTTAAACAATTAACAAATATAAAGCTTGAAAATTATTAAATTTTAAAAATAGGGAATGAAATAAAAATGAATAAAATGAAAAATTTAAACTGAATTGATAGTTCTGTAAATTTTTTGTCTATTTTAACGACTGAAAAGTCATTCCCATTCATCAAATCACAAGTTCAGAGTAACGAGAGTAGTGGTATCAATCGAGAAATAATTTCTTTCTACCATTTAATACCGACCAGAAAGCTTAATATACAAATTTACTTCGATTTGCCGTTTTAAAAATGCATATTTTCAAACTTATTTCACTGGATTCGATTATTTTTTTAGCTCTTCCAATTATCCTAGTTCAAAATTATTTAATTGTAAAAATTTGAAAACAGTTTTATTTAACACAAATTTTAATGAATGGTTTTATATAAATAAAAATATTAAGAAAAATAAGTTGCTAATTAGTTTAATTTAAAGCTGTATTTTCATTTACCTATATTTATCTTGTCACTCAATTTACCCTATAAAATTTAGGAATTGTTGCTACGTTCGTGAGATTTAATATTTAAGCACTGTGAAGCAAAAGAAACAGGTGACTTAAAAATTAAAATCAATCTCATGTAAATGTCTTCGTTTCGTGAATATTAGGGTTTTTAGTAACAGTTATTAATAGCTGTTAAATTAAATTTTGTCCAGCTTTAACCATCCTCTTCTATCCTGAGAATGATAATCGTGCAAAATTTTAATGCAAAGAAAGATCACCGTTTTTTCTTAAAACTATAAACTAAAAATCAGATCTAAAATTTTTAAATTTGGAAAGTTACTCCATTGCCGCATAGTTTGTGCTCATTAAATTTGTAAAAATTCAAAATTATTTATTGATTATAACAATTTTCATTAAGTTGACAAAATCTCGTAAGGCTGAAAGCTTTTTAAATGTGGATGATTTAACCGAGAATTTTTTTTTTATCAAAAGAGTTTCAAAACTCAGTATTAAAACCTTAGTTGATGCTTCTGCCTGAAAACTTAAAAAATCCTTAAAACTTAAAATCCAGAACTTGGAAAATGTTAACAATGCGATAATCTAATCGAAAAAGTCTTCAAAATTTTCTAATATGTATGATAGTTTTAAGCTTATTAAAATCAGCCCGTATGAAGCCTCATTAAGAAATGACCTTTAACTAAACCTATCACCGAAACGAAAACTAGTATCCAAACAAATAAACCAATTATTCAGTCAGACTGAATCTGCTTAGTTCTGTTGAATTAAACCTTTGAAATAGCTATTTTTAATAAGCCTTCACTTTGCAAACTGCCAGAAACATATCAAGCGAATTGAATAGCGAATAATTTATGATATTTTCTAACTAACTGGCAAGTTTGTGAGCTCACTGCAATTAGCTTGAAAGTTGTCAGACATATTAGAAAATATTTTTTCTACTATTATCCTAGCAAGATTCAGTTAACCATTTTCCTGCAGTGTACCATTTGTACCATTACACGTGGTTCAACATGTTGTACCAGCCGTAAGCATAAGGTTAACTCAACATTTTAAGGTGTACGCTGAAAAAAATTCTGCATCAAATTGCGATAAAGTTTCCACACTTAAGGTGCATCATCCATAAAATCATTTTAATCGTAAAATATTAGACCAAAATTTTTACAGTAATAATTATTTAATTAGAGCAATTAAGTGATTTTACGGCAATTAATGTTGTAAAAATTACGGTTAATCATTTTTTTTTTATCCGTAACATGTGCCGGTAAAAATGCATTTTTATAGTAAAAAGCACCGACACCCTGAGTGCCGGTACTTTTTACCATCATTTGATAATAAATAATTCACAGTGTAAGACAACTGTGGATATTTACAACGAACCAAAATTATTCAATTATATCAGGACATAGACAGGGGTCTGTTTAGAAGAAATTTGGGTCCGTTTACGGACCCTTCACAAAATTTCTTTTCATAAAAACGGACCCTTCACAAAATATTTTAACTTAAAAACGGACCCTTCACAAGATAATTTATCTTTTAATCGGACCCTTCACAAATTTGTTTATCTTCATTATTGTTTTGTTAATCGAATACACCCTTCCCAGGGGCGAAAACAAGAAGGACAGATGCAAACGAATTAAGTTTTGTCTTCGGCAGACGATTCTTCCTTTATTCGCCCGAAATGAATATTCTGCGTTCAGCAGTATAGGCTAAATACCAAATATTTATATGTTGCATCTCTAATTTTAAAGCAGTAATTGCTGTTTATTTTCGAAAATTAAATTTTTTTATTATAATTTTACAGTGCTGAGCATAATCTTGTATCTATTTACAATTTAAAAACTCCTTGAAAAAGTTTTTTGCAATAACCGGACCCTATTTTCACAAATTCATAAAAACAGGACCCTGGTTGGAGGAATGTGACTAAACGCTAATTTTATGTTCAAAAATTACGAGTAATTTTTTCACAATTTTACAAAAACCGGACCTTTCACAAAATGTCTGGACAGACCCCTGATAGATATCCTGTAAACTGGATTCTACAGTAATTTAAGCAAGTAATTTAGTCTTAACTAACAGCTACTGTTATTCTTTATTTTGAAAATATTATTTTTTACTTTTCCCCCAGGCATATGGTAAGCGTTTATCCTTTCTTCGACGACGACGCCTCCTCTTTCTGTGCTTCTCTAAGGATGAGGGAGACACTTTTCTAGCTTCAGGACGAGGAACAACAGCGGAATCTAAAGGTTTGTACTTGATTCGAGCTTGAACTTCTGCTAGTGAACCATCCACCTTTTCTGACATGTAATCTGGCAGTTCATTGTCTAAAATCTTTAAGAGGAATAAAAAAGGTTTTTTTTAAATCATTCAGATAAAATTAATCAAGCGATTTTGTATAAAAAAAATTATTTTAGTGACATGCATCCATAAAAGTATTGAGTAAGCGACTAGACAATATTTTTCTTCAACATCCATAAGTATCCTGCTCTGTCCAATACCTCCTAGAAAGAGAAGACCTTAGCACGGGTTACCATAAACAAGAAATTTGATCCTTTAGTAGTCCAAACGTAATGGCATCTTTCGTATGTACCACCACTGTGCAACTTAGCAGTCCAAACGTAGTGACATCTTTCTTCTTTTTCATCGACTGATTATTTTTATGTTCGTCACGTCGGACAACTAAATTGATCCGTGCTGAGGCCTTCGCTCTTCTAGGACAGGGGTGGCGAACCTTTATGCACTAACGTGCCATTTTTTCGAAAAAAATTTTGAACGAGATCATAGACGTGCCGACAAATAGTTTTGACTTCGTGATTATTGGGTAAATAATAATAATACTAAATACTATCAACTCAAATCTCTTTATTTACTACGAAAAAAAATACATTTTGCAATACTCGTACAATTATACTCGTAATTCAACTTAAAATAACATCAGTGTGACTTCTGTTGCTGCAGATTAGATGAAAAATAACTTATATTAGGATTGTAAGATGTTAGTTTAGGCAGAACTGTTAATTTTTTTTGCTAGTTATTTGTTGTTAGCTTGTTTTTTTTATGGTTATTAATTGCTTTTTTGGCATTAATTGTTTATTTTTTTAATAAATTTTTCGTGAATTTTAATTTAACTGTTAATATGCTTCATAGTGAACTTTGTGATCGGTGGCGTGCCCAAAATATTGTGTCGCGTGCCATAAATTACACGCGTGCCATTGGTTCGCCATCCCTGTTCTAGGAGGTGTTGCTCTGTCCCGCAGTGGACTAATCGTAAGGACACGATTCCCAGCAGATCACCGAAGTCAATCATCACTGGATACGGTCAGTGTGCGGGTGGGTGACGACTCAATCTGCGTAGGGACCGAGGGTGCGCGGTATTGGTCCTCGTTAAACAGTTCTACCGTAAAGTGCTCAACTTCACATGCAGGTCGTTGGGCTATTGAAGCGGGGCGCCATCCTCTCTGCAGAGGATCAAAATTGTGTTGGCATGGCTTCGGATCATCCTCGGCGATGTTTCCCAGACCGTCGCCAATGGAACATTGTGCAGCGCTAGTGCGAAGTAAATGAACTACAACAACAAGTATCATGCTCTTCAAAAATATATGTTAAATATTTTACAAAAAATATTATTTGAGCACATTTTAGAATGCACTTGCATATTTGAACACATATTAAAGAATATAATCACAAATTCAGACATATATTTAAACATGCTCAGAAACTCGATCATGAACTTAAATATAAATTAGAGCACATATCCAACCAAATTGTAGATATATTGTTAAAACTGACCAAGGTACAATTTGGAAAAAAAATAGTTAATGGGCTTAAGTAATTTGACTATGTTATCTTTTAAACAAAAAGCAACAATAGTGTACAGTACGCAAAAGATACGGATCACCCTGAATTACCTTTAATTCATTGCTCGGATCTTCATGTATAAGGACTCAATCTTAATGTTCGGGGGGTAACCACAAATATGCTAATTATTTAGTGTATAAAATATTTTTGGTTACGAAGTCAGACACAAATGCGTACTTTCTCTGAAAAAAAAAGTACCTTTTTTCGACGTTTCTGGATTTTTGACCCTCAAAACATTAGGGGTAGCCACAATGGGGGTAATGTCGTCGATCCCAAGAGTTGGTTATGAGAGAGATCCGAATTTTGAACTCCTGAATATTAATTTAACTTTTTGTGTATTTCGCCATATCTCAAGAATTCTTTAAGTAAATTAAAAATTTTTGCTCACAATTATAAATTTATTTTATGCAAAATTAACTCCATGCAAAAAAAAAACATTTATAATTATTTATTATTTTATTTAATAATTGTCAAAAAAATTTTACGTTTTAATGTATTTAAACTCTTATATCATTTTTAAATAAGTCGAATAATTATTGAGAAATCAAAATTTTAAAAAGTTGTAAATTTAAATTTTGATTAACATTGTTTTCCGTTAAACCAAAGAAAAAATTCCTTTTTTCAAACGTCTCTGAATTAAAATATAATTAAAGAATCGAAAATTGGGCTTTGTGATTTCTTATAATTATACTCATTTATCTTTTGTATACCGAATAATACCATTTATCTTATATATCTTCACAGTATATCATTTATCCATTATCGAGATAAATGGATAAATGGTATACCAGGTATACTGAAATATTCGAAGGCTTACAAATGCTTTTTTTATATGTACAGATTTTTGTATTAATTTTTTTATATATTTAACATAAATATTGTTATTTTAATAAGATATGCTTATATATGTTATCAAAACAAGCTTTTAAAAATAAGTAAGCTTTTGTTTGAAAACCATATTCATATTTATATTTCTGACAGCGGAATTATAATCCTTTAATAACTTTTACGAAGAAATACTTAAACCACTTTGATTAATTAATTAATTAAATTGTTTATCAGACATACTTAGATAGAACTTAGTTTTAATCTTCAATTTCTACATAAATAATAAAAAAGAAGTCAATTTGAAAGGAGTTAGTATTGTAAATCTTTAGAACGTATATTAAAAGTAAATTACATTTATATTTTAAGAAAACATTTATTTATACTTTCTGCATAGATTGAATAACATTGGGAAAATTAATTTTAACTATTATAACAACTTAATTCATTTTATTATTTTTAGTTCTTTGCTGGCATTAAGCTCTAATCTCTATTTTCAGCTTTAAAAAGTTAAAATCAAAATTAACAAATTAAGTTGAAAATAATTAATAACGTAAAATAACTTTTAAATCTGATAAGCATTTATAAACTATTTAATTAATCTTTTGGAAGTATGGAATGAAATACATTATATTTATTTTTAACTCATAAGTACATGGTACTTAATTCATAAATTAAATGATTAAATTATCAAAATGTAAAAGTCTAATCAGCTTTATTATGAATTATTTTAAAAGGATTATGCAAAAAAAAAATTATTAGTATTCTACGCCGTTTACTGTCATAAAATGAATGCAAAGTTAAAAATCTAATGCAATTTTAATGCAGTTAAAGGTGTATTTTATAAGTTTTCTAAAATCTGAGAAAATATTTAGAACTATTAAAATAAAGTGTTTTTAATTTTGTAAAAATAAATACTAAATGATGTTTGTCAACAGAATTTGTATATCTTAATTAAGTCTACAAAAATTTATTCGTAATGAGAAAATCCATTGAATTTGACAAATATTCATGAAGCGTTTTAAAATTTTTCTGAAATTGGTTTATGTAAAAAAGAAAAGAAGTTCAAATTTAAGAGAAACACCAGATTTTCGTCAAAGTGCTCCTAAGAAAATAATTAAAGGAAAAGAAATTAAATTCAACTCTATTAATGACCATAACTGGAGAGTTAAACTTGGAGTAATTATTAAAGCATCGCATTTTCATCACTAGATTGAAAATGTTTCAATTTAAGTAAATAAATTAATTAAAAAAATAATGTTTGAACTATTTTCTATAATAAAAGCTACAGAAGAAAACAAGTTACAAAAACAAAACAATTCAGAAAAGAGGAAATAAAAGTATTTCATGCAAATATGTGGCAGATTTTTAGAAAAAAATTACATACTTCAACTTAACTTTGTTTTTAAAAAAAAATGGGAAGAAAAGTTATTCTAGGAGTATATTAATTTTAATATGAAATTTGAAAGCTAACTTGAACATATTACGTTTTTTTTTTTTTGCAATTAGAATTTTAAAGTTTTCAGTATTTTAAACTTAATCAGGACGCCGCCATAACATCTTCACTACATCTTGAAAATTTTCCTGAATAATTTTTTTATGTTGTTTTTGAAATGTAGATATCGCACTCATTTGCCAGTAAGCTATCTCTTTATTTGACGTTATCATTCAAATACATATTAGTTGGTAGTATGCTAGTTAGCTGGTAAAATGTGTGAGGTTAACATTTCTACAATTTTGATGTTTTTCATTTTTACGTTCTTAACATTATTACGATTTCGATGGATTTGCATTTTTACAGTTTTTATGGGTTTTCATTTTTACAGTCTTATATTTTTACAATTTCTTACAATTATTTTCTTACAATTATTTTCTTGAATTTTCAGTTTCGTTTTGCGGTGGTTTTTTTAATTAACATGTTAACATTCTCTTAATTATTAAACTGAACAAACGGTAAAACTTTTTTTCGGTTATACTTTTATAGTTCCAATTGAAAATCAAATTCATTTATTTAATGAAAAAAATAAACTGAAATTTGGAAACTCAAATAAAAATAATAGCATCTGAACAAAGCGACGCAAAATTTTTATTAAGCATATATGTCATTATTTTGTATTATATTGTATTGTATTATATTGTATTTCAAAATAAGGGGGAAATATTATATTCATCATTTTTTTAATTTATAGTTATGAAATACAGCATGAAGCACCGGTATCTTTTTTCGCGTCAAAAGTAAAATCTTCCAAACACGGCACTGTTTTAAATAATAATTTTTCAAATTTTCGCTTATTCGCAGTTATTAAGATCTAACAGAAACAGTTATTGAAATTTCCTTAATTTACAAAATTTCTTACATTTTTGAATATGAATGAAAAGAAAAAATTTTAAACGATTTTTTTTAATTTATTTTAGTTCAACTATGATTCCGATAATCTAACAGATTTTTTACTAACTATTAAACTGTTCTTTTTTTTGTAATTAAAGAAACACTGAGATATATTTTTACTGGTAATTGGAACGTTAGAAAAAATATGTATATCTCCCATCTGCGTCAAAGGGGTTAAACAAAACTCATGTATGAACGAGTCAAAAGTGTTTCAAGAATATAAGTACCTCTGGTTTTACATCTCTCTTTTCCCTAAGATTATTTAAGTCTCTGTCCAACTCTTCTATGCTCATGTGGTCATCATCTTCAGAGAATAGAACTATAAAGGGTTGAGATATCACTTCAGAAACATCGACATTCTCTGGACCTTTTACAAACACTCCAATCAAATGATGTTGCTCAGCATCACCTGAAATATGTATGTAACAATACATTCTAACACAAAAGTTCTAAACTTTAACATGATACATGAAGCTACTTTTCAATCTTCATATGAAATAATACTTTTTTGAAAGTAACCTGCTATTTTCATAAATTTTTAAGTTATCAAATATCAACATATAATTTTTCTCAACAGAATGTGACTGTCAGAGTAAACCAAAACTACAAATGCAGTTGAAACAATACTTTTAGCATAAAAGGTGGAAATGTTAGGCAGAGATAAAGAGAATAAAATGTTAAAATGCAACATACGATTAATGTGCTTTTATCTTAATCTCGTTGTCATCAGAGCACGTTTAGTATAGATTTCCTTCTCATGCTTCAAACCTTTGCAAAATATCCTTTTTTCATCTCTGTCACTAGCCAGTTTTATGTCTTATCATTGAAACATCTCTGACAAACAAACATCGTACAAACAAAACAAAACGAAACAAAAGTACATCTCTGGTAGAGACTGGGGCGCTGATGCCAAAACGCTCAGGACAACATATATTACACTTATTAGGCCTATCCTAGAGTATGGGTTCCCAATCTACTTCTGTGCCTCACCATCTAACCTCCATCATTTAGAAAGAGTGCAATTGAGTGCAGCTCGCATTATAACGGGCCTGAGAAATAGCTGCCCAAACGATATAGTACTATACGAGGCTAATCTTCCACCCCTTAGTCATGTTAGAAACTCGAATTTGGTAAAATATTTCAACAAATTAAAAAGTTATGAAAATCAGAACCGAACCTCTGAATATCTGTCTAACTGGAGCGACAACCAGAGACTCAAAAGGAATAGCCCATTTGGTCTGGCCGATAAAATGAAGATTATTTCCCAATCGGCGGAGTATTCATCTCTTACACCTTGTGTCAGCCCGATTGAGGGACTATCTGGAGTTCACTTCCACTCTGAACTTCTGTCCCACACAAACAAGAACTCAGATGTTCCAGAACACCTACGACAGCTGGCTCTCGGGGTTATTAACTGTATCCCGAGTGATGTCACTTTAATATATACAGATGGCAGCAAGGATGAGTCAAATTACACTGGAAGCGGTATTTATATCGAGAATATTTCTGTTCGACTCTCTAGACGAAACCCAGACAATTGCTCGGTACTTAGGAGCGAATTAATAGCTATTGAGGAGGGTTTAAAAACCATCCTTCACTCCACTGACTCTAGCGACATTTGGATTCTCACGGATAGCCGCAGCTCGATTCAACATCTACAGGACTGGAGTCGAGTAAAAGACCTCGTAAGCATCCAAATAATCAATATGCTCAAAATTCTTGCAAATCGTAGGGAGGTCCACTTTTAGTGGATCCCCTCTCACGTCAACGTCCCTGGAAACGAAGTTG